GGTAAACATATGTTCAGACCAATCTTCTTGCAAAACCCAGATGTCATTCTCTCCCCAAAGTGGTAATAAAACACTTGAATCCTCAGCTCAGTGGTCCCTGAAGATGTGTCGAAGTCTTCTGGATATAATGGTTGTTTTCTGGATATAATGGAACATTGAAGCCATAAGTTTCAACTCATTTCAATCACCTCTACAGATTCAAATATCTAGTGTGCAGATTGCTAACAGTTTCAATGTGCACTATAAAAGGCATTTAGTAATGCAAATTTAAACGAGTTCAGGTTAGAAATCAGTTACGTCTTCTTTTCATTGCAGATTTAATTGTAGATAATATCTTTTTTCATATAGTTTTACTGATTTGGAAATCGGCATGCTCTAATAATGTCGCATTAGTGATGCAGGTTTTATTTATTTCTTTTTTTCTTTTTTTAATTACAGGCATTTGCAAAAGAGGGAGCTCGAGTCACCGCCACGGACATAAATGGAGAGAAGCTGAAGGAGCTGGACGCCTTTGAAGGCAAGAGGGTTTTCTGTTGGTTGTGATTGCCACCTGCTGGAAAACGGGGGTAAAGCAGACTGGAGGCATTGCAGTAACTCTTTTTTTCAATGTTTTTTTTAAAGTCATTTAAAAGGTTTACTAACTACCCCAAAAACTGGCAGCATAACAAGATATTTTGTTCTTGATCATTTTAGATATGCAAACAACACGACATGAACTGATTAATTGGTTACAGACTTGAACTCAGAATTGCTTATTACATAGGGGTTGTAAGTCACATAAGCTGAAGAGTGAAGGATTCCTCTGAATCCAAATCAGAGACGCTTGCATGTTGTTCTTCCAAAGATAATTTACTAAAAATTTAAACAAACCCATAAGGGTATCCCACAGAATTAAAGTCTGAACAACAAGCAGATAAGATAAAGGGATAAAGGTAAAATCAAATTATTATATAACGCAAAGTACAATTACACAACACACATTTTTTCCAAGTGGTTTTTCTAAAAGGCTGAAGTTGTATAACAACTGCTTTTTGTTGCCCCACCTTTATTTTTTCCTCCTGGCAGAAATATTATGTTTTCTCTTTAGGGGGTAGTTTTATTCCACCCGTATTTTTGATTTTGGTCTTCATGACCGCTTCTTTAACTCACAAACAGCTTTACAGTTCCAGGAAGATATTTTGGTTGGTAGAACTGTTGTTTTGACTTTGAAGTATTTTTCTCTGCTTAGATTGACAATACAGCAAGTTTCTCCTAAAATTTTACTATGTTAATGCATTTGCTAATTTCCTCTTTGACCTCTGAGTTTTTAGCAAATTTGAACTCGTCTCTTCATCATATATGGAGGAAATACAGTTAGTTTCCGTGGTATATAATAAATAGACATTTTCTTTGCACAAATCTAAATCTGGGCACTAATGTATGTATAAATCCATTTTAAAGATTTAACTAATATATTTTTCTGACCAGGAATCCGGACTAAAGTGGTGGATGTGACTAAGAAGGACCAAGTGGAAGCTCTGGCGAAGGAACATGATCACGTTGATGTGCTGTTCAACGTTGCAGGGTACTCTACCTTTCTTGTGATGTTAACCAGTGAATACAACCCGTTAGACATGAAGAACAAATTAGCATTTGAAAGCATGTGTACTCTTCTTTTGAGCTACACTTTTAACAGCATTCTACGATGTTTATTACCAAATATTCAATGTTACTTTTAAGAGGAAGCCCCTTTTTTAATCTAGTTTGTTCATTTGAGTTGGATGTTATGCTCACAGCTTCAGCTACGACACCAAAAGAACATTCTCTATTGCGGCCCGGGTCCATTGTGGCTTCTTGCTTACAGGTTCGTGCACCACGGCACCGTCCTGGACTGTGAAGAAGCAGACTGGGACTTCACCATGAATGTGAACGTGCGAAGCATGTATCTCATGTGCAAGGCTTTCCTGCCTCAGGTAATTCTTTGTCATGTTGCTGTACTCGTAAAGCAGCTCACTTCATTGCTGAGAGAACATAGTGTAGGATGTTGTGGAGAAATAAGCGACATATGCCTCTAAAGTTGTTCTCCACCTTTGTCTGTTGGGATTAGCTGTATTACTCTGAGCCTGTGACATGATGAACTGTGACTGTCCAGTTACTAATCCAGCCGCTAATCCAACCTCTGAACTAGCTACAAATCAGGATAGCATCTTGACAAATTTTTTCATTTTTTATTTTTTTATTTTTGGCTGAGACTGAATCAAATTTGCCAAAATGGAACTTCATCTGTTATAGATTAATAAAAACATTCCTTTATTTTATCACTCTAGATGTTGGAAAAAAAGTCTGGAAACATTATTAACATGGCTTCTGTTGCTTCAAGCATAAAAGGTAAAAAATAAATAAAAATAAAAATCAGTGCCACTGAAGTATGATAATTTTTTTTTATCTTCTTATCTCAGATATTTGCTTGACGTCTTTGTCTAAGCGTAAATGTGCTTCTTGGTTGTAGGTGTCGTGAACCGCTGCGTCTACAGTACCTCCAAAGCTGCTGTCATTGGCCTCACCAAATCCATAGCTGCTGATTTTATTGAGCAAGGCATTCGCTGCAATTGTGTTTGTCCTGGTCAGTGTTGGACAAAAATAATATTTTGTCTATTTTTATTTTCTGTCATTGATAATCTTTAATTGTCCTGCTATTGTAATTGAGAGGAAGTGGAGTTCCTTGAAATTTAGGAGCCTTATCATGTAAAATCTCATCCCATGCTCTTAGGAATATATTGTGTAACCCTGTTGTTTGCCACTTCAAAGGCACAAGTGAGTGCAATCTCAAGCTTATCTAATATTTATGGAACAGATCTGGCCTTGTCTACCTTATCAACATCCTCCAGTTAGTCACAGAGTAGATACTGCAAACTAACAACATTTCAGATGAATGTCTGGCCTGCTGTTTTATATATTTTCTCAGGAACTGTTGATACACCATCCTTGAGGGATAGGATCCAGGCCCAGCCTGACCCAGAACAAGTACTGTATACCCTGGACTTAACAATTTTGTGTTTATTTCACTGGTATTCTGCAAGTTATCTCAAGTTTCCCAAGTCAAAATTCTGATGACTGACTGTTAAGGTCAATAAACACGACAAATCTTATCGCTGCATAGGCTTACAAGGACTTTATGGCTCGACAGAAGACTGGAAGGTTGTGCACCGCTGAAGAGGTGGCGCACCTCTGTGTATACCTGGCCTCAGATGAGGTGAGTCAAGTCAGAACCGGCACACTGGCTAACAGGATGTGGCTGTAGTCTCTGTATTTGTATAGAAATATTCTTATGCCAATGAATTTTGGGTGTTTTGTGAAGTAATGTAGTTCACCTGTGATTTGTATCCGTGTCCTTCACAGTCAGCCTATGTCACTGGGACAGAGCACATCATTGATGGAGGATGGAGACTGTGAAGAACTGGTGACATTCCCAGTATTAGTAAACTGAGGAAAGTTTTGGATCAAAATAAAGCTTAGATAATGGTCTATTTTTGTCCTGAATGTTTTCCATCTTTGCTAAACTAGTCAGACCCCTTGAACTTTTTCCTTTTGGACACTTTAAAATCATAATCTCCCTCTGACTTATTTTATGTGGTAGTTCAACACAAAGTTGAAAGTTTTCAGACTTTTTTTTTTCTTTTTTACAAATAAAAGTCTCAAAATGTGCAACATAAATGTATATTCTGTTGCCCCCAGCCAATACTTGACTTGAAAAATGAAACCACCTTTTGCTAAAAACTTTTTGGAATTTGTATCAGCTTTGCACATCTGGAGTCTGCAATTTCTGACCCTTGCTTTTTACCAAACCAGCTTAAGCTCACTCTAATTTAATGGAGAACACCTCTAAAAGAAAATTGTCCCAGTTGGACTATGCATGAACTTTGACTAGATCATTTTAAAACATGCACATATTTTGATCTAAAGCATACTTTTTAGCTCTAGTTGTACAACTCCATCCATCATATGTCAATTATGGGTGTCAGTTAAATGTGTGTCTCAACTGACAAAGGAACCTTCAGAATTTGCTTTAAATGGGGTTTTATCTCTCGAATGTTTCAGAAAGGCTAGATTTGTGAATGGCACAACTAGTGATGGGTTCTTTTACCTGAGCTGTGGATCCCTGCAGCATTTCCAGAGTTACCATGGGCTTTTTAGCTGCTTTCATAACTAGATTTTCTATTCTAAACAGTTAAATTTAATAATAACTGCAAACATTATTTCCAGTTTTGGGTGATGATGTCAAAAATTAAAATTTCCTAAGTTTGGTATATTGTTTTGTAAACTGAACCTGCTTTTTAGCCTGCTTCTCCCCAACTTTGACTGACCTTTCTGCTGTGTTTCTTGGTCTTTGTGATGATCATGTCAACAGAAAAGATTTATACCTAGATTATTTGTGTACTGGTACCATCGGGTTTTATTTAGGTGTATCAACGTAAAGGAACATACATACATGGCTTACTATTAAGATCTTTATTTGTAATTTGTTTTTATTTAATATAATCGCACTTCATAAAATGGTCAGTTGCATACAATTTTGCTGAGTGATTAAATGTTTCAAAAAATGTAATATAGTGGTAGTAAAGTCATATTATCGTCATTTAAATAAACTTTAAAATTCCTAAAGACATACATTCTTTTGTTTTGATTCTCAATACAACATGCACATTATACAAAACATTATAAGTGAAAAGTGCATTAAAAAGTAAACAAAATAAAAATCCATATTTCCCTTTCGTTTTGTCAAAAAATTGCAGAAGCAAACAATACAAAATGTAAACACTGAAAAATGAATGTTTCCGCCTCCCACTCCCCCACCTCCAACTTGCGTTCACTCTATATATAAACAGCATTTGCCTGTCTATCACTAATCCGCCTCATTCCCAGTACCCAGCTGGTGTTTGTTCCTCAGCACTACCACAGTCGCCGTCAGTGACACTCTGCAAAGCATGGCTGTGTTTACGGTATGAGGTGAGCGGTTTTTCTCCTGGAATATGCTTCTTTACAGAGTTTTGACAGACACGTCAAAAGGGCGTCTCCGTGGCAACCGCGAGTCTAGAATGGGACACAGGGGTTTCAGAGTCTGGACGGACCGTGGGTCGATTATAGCCGCTGAGGAGGCGCACAATGTCGGACAAGAGCTTCGTTGTTTTTTGTGTTTAAACGTTAGATTAGTTTCGTTCTCTGAAATAATGTCTATTACTTTTTCCGGAATGCTTTTTTCAACACATGAAGCACGTTTTAGGACGTCACAGCGCTGTCACTGACACACGGTTTCTTTGCAAACTGTTCAATGAAGTAAGATACTTCAACTAGTTAATAAAAATAACCTTTTTGCTGTCACAGTTTAGATGAATATGTCCGATAATGCATGGTTGTTGTGAATGTTGTGTTGATATCTGAAAGCTTCAACAGTTTGCAGTGGCTGTTACTGTGTGACAGCCACTGTATTGTAGGCTAACGCTACAACACTACACAAACTAATGCAGTGTACAAAAACATCACTGACCCGTGTGTAGCAACAGACATGTCTTTAATGTTATAGCGTGCTAACTGTTTGGTTACTGGTTACAGTCGTTAGTTACCACTTTACCTGCTTGAGCTAACGCTAGCTAGGTGTGCCATATGGTCGAGCTGTAAGCATTGATTAGTGTGCTTTTTCACAATTGGATTATCAAACGTCTGTTGCCCTAAGCAGCTATCAAAACATTGGAGTAGTTGGTATACAGCCTGTATTTGTAGAGTCTGTGTCTTTATTTGAAATTGGAGTTATAGCAGACTGCAATGTCACAGCTACAATTAGCTACTTACAATTTATTAATGTCATTGGTCATTTTAATGCACTAATCAGCTGTGTAGTTTCTTAATTTTTGTTTGGGTTAAGCTACTATAAGAATTTTATTTTCAGTGTATCATATAGGCCTGTTAATTTATATATTGAGCACATGATTTTCGTCTTAATGTATTAGCACTAGCAGAGCAAAATGCACTTTAGCATACTATCCAGTGTTGAATGTTTCTTTTTCTCCAACAATTGTACAAGGCTGATTAATTAGGTATACATCTCCACTGCTGGATTTTACAGTGTACGTATTTTGAAATAAGTATTTTTTTAAAGAAGCATTTTTTTTTCCTTCATGTATAATTTGATGTACATCACAAGAGGCTTAATATCAGAGCTGATCAGCTAGTAAAGACTTTATTTCTTTTTTCTTTTTCTTATAGTGTTTCAAATGTAATACCGAAACATAAGATATATGGATTGACCAATACAAGGTAGTACATTAGTATGAAGAAAAAGGGAATCACTTTAGATCTTAAACAAATACAAATCTGGAAAGTGTGGCATGCATTTGTATTTAGACACTGAGGCAATACTCGTAGACTAACTTTTGCAGCTTGCCTATTCTTATTCGCAAAACCCAGTTTCATGTATCTTGCTGCCAGTCTGAACTGAGTCTTTATCTTATCTAGACAACTTTTCTCTGACTGCTGAGCAATGCAAATTTGCATATTTTTATCTGCTTCTTCCTTCTGTTGACTGAACTGAAGTTGATGATGGAGGCATGATTGTGCTGACTGGCGGGATTTGGAGCAATAAAGCTCTTTCTGCCAGGTAGTAATTTTTCATGAAAGTTGTCAGCATGAAACAACAACTTGGCATAAATAAATCGTTCAAGTTTTTTTTTTTTTTTTTTTTTGAAATCTGGCCATTCCTGTCTGTTTGGACCCTCGTCACAAACTGTTTTCGTTTGTTTTATTGTAATTGTATCAGATAGAGCCAAAAGGATTTTGCCTCAAGGATATAGAACATAAGTAGGTTACATAACTTTTTAAAGGAATATTTTGATTAAAAACATAAAGAAAGTGGGGGTAAAAAGAAAAAAATGACAAGAAATACTGATCAGCTGCATTATGCCTTATGGCATGTCACCAGCAGCAAGTACAGGTTATTTTTGAAAGAGCAAACTTTTATGTGATTAAATCCTGGCTTAGAGCTACAAAAACTGACCATGACTTTTTGTTCTGAATATAAAACGGTTTGCTTTTATAGCAATGGTTTGCTATTTACTTTAATGTTTATGTATTCATTTCTTTTTCTTTTTTTTTCCTGTCTCACTGTTATTAGAACATGAGATGTATGAACAGGAGCCCCAGACGAGAGGCTGGACACTAAGAAGTGAAGGAAATTCAAATGGCTGAACTCAACCGTGAGTTCAACCTGCTGTGATAAAGAAGCAAAAGAATCAGGAAAAACAGTGGAGTACAACAATGGAGGAAAACCCCGAGAAACCTGCAAAAACTGAACCGAGTCCAGCACCCAGTCCAGCACCCAGTCCAGCACCCAGTCCAGCACCCAGCCCAGCACCCAGCCCGCTGCTGGAGAGAATCACTCTTCCTACTGCAAATCATGTTGAGGTAAAAGCTAAAAGAAAAGGGAAAAACTGGAACCCACACAACAAACTGAGTATTTCTTTTTAGAAGAACATCTGTTTTCTGATCTACTGGCATGCTCTCTTTGATGAAGAACACAATACATGGTTGTAATAAGATGTGCTCTGTTGTAAATATTGCGATCAATCATTTTTACCCAAAGGTGACTGTTAAAAACATCACATCTCAGCATATTTACACCATAATCTAGTTTCTAAAGTCCATCTGCTATGTTATTGACTCTCTGTTTCTTTGTGTCTTGATTCTTCCCTTAAAGCATCTCAACGTGAACCAGTTCCAGGTGGTGGTGCGGCGTTGCTCGACTCCAAATGTAACAGAGGAGACGACCTATTTTATCCCTCGCCACCCTGTGGTGGATGCTGGCACCAACACAGACCCACCTGTGGTCTGTTGCCCGCTGCTTCGCAAGCTTTGCCCATGTCCGCCACGAGGCCTCCTTGCCTCTCTCATTACCAAAGGTAACCACAAGGATTCACTAAGTGCTTTTATTGTTTTGTTTTTTTTCCTTTTGGAATTTTTTTTAAGTTCATATATTAAATTAACTTACATTTTTGCACTTTTATACAGTAAACGGTACTGATTTGCAAATTATTTAGTTGCACACATATTTAGATGTGTATTCAAAATACAAAATTTAAAGCGTTGCAGGTTTTCAGTAGGTTAAAATATCTGGCAGTGTTTTTTTTTTTTTATTACACCTTTCTGTTTTTCAAAAAAAAAAAAAAAACTTTAGAGTCATACTGACAAAAGTGACAAAATGGATAATTTCTGTCTTCTCTTCCCTCTTCAGTTCTTTTGGCAGCTGTACTCTTTGGGGTGATTGTGTCCATCACCGAGAAGGAATGTCTTCCTGGAGGGAATCTGTTTGGCATCACCATACTCTTTCTCTGTGCGATTGTCGGTGGCAAAGCAGTCGCCCTCATCCAGCTGCCTACACTTCCACCATTTCCACCGCTCCTTGGTAAGACTAACGAATGATTGTCATTTAGGCATCAATTTCTAACTTCCAACTATACACATTACATTTTCTGCACTTCAAAATCTAAATGTGGATCATATAAAAATATATATTTTTTCTATAATATCCCTTCAGAATAACGTGTAGACGTAATACTGTGTTTGTGATGGAAAAAGCTCTGTAGTTTTAGCTGTTATTTCATTCGTGCGTGCTTGCATCCTTTAGTATAGCTGCACAAGAGCCTCAAGGAGCCTTCCTGTTTTGAACGATTGTCTTCGATCCATATTAAGAGCAGAGGCAACAATGGGTTGTGTATGAGAGGAGTTTGTTTCACTTTGTTCTTTTAAACAAGATTTTTCTGTAATTTTAAAACGGTGACAAAATTATTGCACATTTGACATTTTTACACCAAAATGTAAGAAAGTTAAAGAAAAGAGGTTTTAAGCTGACATTTTAACTAACCCAAAGTAGCTAGAAATTGCAGCTACCCTTTTTTTTTATAAAACACAAAACCTCATTTTTATGACAGTTGTCAATTTCATGACGAGTTTTTTTTTTTTTTATGTGAAATTGAAGTTCTCTCCAAGAAATTTGTTTTGCTTGTTTTTGTTAATAGCAAGCATGCAGAAATATGGTCCTGTTAGCTTGATAATGTATATCAGTTATGTTTAAGAATGGAAAGGACAACAGAGCTCTTTTATTCTGGGTTCATTTAAATAAATAATATTAACTTTGAATCAGTCATTGCTTTCGTCATATTACATATAACTGACAGCAGCCATAATTTCGACTGACTGGTCCAGGTACATCAATGAAGGCCAGTGGTTTCCCTCTTTGGTGTGCTGGACATATAAAACATGCAGGACAGTGGTCCCTGAGGCCCAGGGTTGGGAGCCAGTTTATTGCTTCTATGTTCAGTTTTTTCACTTTAGATCTGCTTAGACTTCAGGGTTTTTGTTTTTCCCCATTTAGTCACATTCACCTAAAATCTGTCCACATGATCTGTGTTGTGTGATAGACAACCCCAAAGAAAATAAATAGCATTTAGGGTTAAAATGGATCTTCTTTCCTCTTTCCCACCCGTTCTGCTTTGCTGCAGGTATGCTGCTGATGGGCTTCCTGCTGAGAAACATCCCAGTTGTAACAGATTCGGTGTACATTAACTTCAGGTGGTCTGCTTCACTGAGAAACATTGCTCTGGCTGTCATCCTGGCCAGAGCTGGCCTGGGGTTGGATCCCAAGGTATGACTTATTCTCATAAAAAAGTTTAGTGATTAAATGGATTACGAGTATTTAAAAAAAACTAAATAACTATTAATAATTTAACCTCAAATCTTTATACAGTGGCTTTAATTAAGAACACAGACTCTACGAAATAGAGGCAGATTCTATTTACATTGGACCAAATCTTCAAGTCATTGCAGTTATTCCAAGTTTAAAACTTTCCCTGAAATAACAAACAGCAAGTTTGGTTCACAATGATAGCTAATAAAAGCTTCATATTTCAATTGAAATGGCTAAAGTTATTTGGTGCTGAGAAACGTGGTGGTTCTTTTCAATGCTTTCTGCAAAATAGAAGTCTTGCATCTTTACAACGTGTACATTTCTACTGTCAGGCTCTGAGGAAGCTTAAAACCGTGTGTATACGTGTAGCAGCTGGGCCCTGCCTGATCGAAGCCAGCACCGCTGCTCTCATCTCTCACTTCCTCATGGGCTTGCCCTGGGAGTGGAGCTTTATTCTTGGGTAAATGCAACACTTTGCACTCTGTGTTCATATATTGAAATTAATGGTAATTTACAATTTCATCATTTAAATGGGAAATGATAAAATGTAAATGAAATGCCTATTCACCTTTATATGTTGTTTTCATTACCTTCCTGTGCAGAAAAGACAAACTGTTCATTTCTTTCATTTGTGCAACAGTAAAATAAACCCATGTTTCCTGCAGCTTTGTTCTGGGCGCCGTGTCCCCGGCCGTGGTGGTGCCCTCGATGCTTCGGCTGCAGAAGGATGGATACGGCGTGGAAAAGGGTATCCCCACCCTGCTGATGGCGGCTGGAAGCTTTGACGACATTCTCGCCATCACAGGGTTCACCACATGCTTGGGCATGGCCTTCGCAGAAGGTACCGTGTGTTTCCAGAGTATAATAATTCAGTCTTGTGCTTTTTGAAACAAAACGCCTGCATTGTCTCCAGGGGAGGCGCAGCTGGAAGGTCAACAATGAGAATCACACTGAGGGAGAAAAAAAACCAGATCAATATTGGCTTGCAGTTTATCAGCAGCACAGTAGAGGGTGTAAATGTGCAGATTATTCTGATTAGTAATTAGAAACTTTTAAATTTATGAGGTAAATTCCAATCGGATACCCCAGTATTGACTGTATTTTTATGTATTTCTATGTTATGAATTAAAAATAACTTTTTTTGAATTCTTTAAAACAGCAACAATTTATAATTCTCTATGAAGGGCTTCATGTTGTTTAAATTATTTATGCATCAATGAATTATATATACACATTTATTTAATGAATCTTAATAATTTACTGCTTAATTTGCTAGTAATCCTTTTTGTTCAGGATCCACTCTGTATAATCTCCTGCGAGGTGTCCTGGAGGTTGGAGGAGGGATGGTTGCTGGGACCCTCCTTGGCTTCCTTATTCAGTACTTTCCAAGTGCCGACCAGGTATGAAATCTTATGCTGCTTCGCCTTCCTTAAAGGGATAGTTCAGGATTTCTAAAGTTAGCGTCCGTTAAAAGGTTAACCTTCCTACAGTCGACATAGGACATGCGAAGCGTTACTAACGACCTATTAGAAAAATAAAAAATAATATCAAAGTAAAAATTATTATAGCTGTTTAAGTAAAGGTTGTTTTTAATATATTTTGCTATAGTGTATTTCTTCTTAGTTGGCCATGCTAGCCACAACTACTGTATAGGACTGTGGCAGATCCAGGCTTTGACATCAGATAATATGCAAGTTTTAGGTGTGCTCTGTTTAGGAGCCCGGCCTTGCCTTAAGGTCAGATAGTTAGTGGACAGACATGATGGACAAATTAAAATACATTTTAAAATGTACCTACAGTTCAACTTATTAGCTGTGTAGGTTCCCATCAAATATGGTGCTTCGATTTGATGTTGAGAAAATTATGTTTTCTTTTTAACAAATAAGGATTCATACTGAACAAAGACTCAATTAGATTTTTCCAAAACATTAAGTAATAGAACATCACTTAAAAATCTTGAACTATCCCTTTAATTTTTCACCTCATCCTTGCATAACATTCTGTGGAAGGCAAAGTGAGACGAGTCAACAGAAGCTCAGTAAACTAAACCCTCTGCACTTCATGATCGCCTTAGTGGCTCTAAATGTGTAGCGTCATAATGGTTACGCTCTAATATTCATATTGCATAATGCTTCTGAATTAAAAAAAAAAACCTGATCCATGTGATAACATTCAACTGATTAAGAACGAATAAATCTTACCTACTACTCTGACCTCTCTTGTGATAAATGAAGCTTTTCGTGTCGCTTGATTCGATTTCTTTACTCCGTTTCTTAATCAGTTACGTTCTTTTATAGGAACACCTGGTGATGAAGCGTTCCTTCTTGGTGCTGGGTCTGTCTGTCTTTGCTGTGTTCGGCAGCAACGTGGCAGGGTTTCCCGGCTCGGGGGGCCTCTGCACCCTGGTGTTATCTTTCCTGGCTGGACTTGGCTGGGGGGACGAAAAGGTAAAAGAACATGGAAGCCAAAGTCATGCACCAATCCTTCTTTTCCACTCTTAGTTTGATGCCATCCAGATTTTGAAGAGGAATTTTATGTATTTTACCACAGCAAGCGTGTGTAGTTTACATGTTAATTATCAATATAGTGTACAAGTTATTACACATTTCTTTTTGCTCTGTGCTAAACATACTATTTTCTGTCTTCTGTCAAAAAGGCCCGTGTGGAGGAAGTGATTAGTTGGGCATGGGACGTGTTTCAGCCTCTCCTGTTCGGACTGATAGGAGCTGAGATTCGAGTCAATGAGCTGGAGGGACTTGCAGTTGGTGAGATGGATGCACAAAGTCTTCAAAATAACAGTGTCATCATTGTGAAAAATTCAAATGTGACTGTATGTAAATATATTTGCATATCCAAACAAGACATGACAGATGTGAGCACTCTCACCTGTCCTGCATGTACTAAAATCATTTCATGTGTTTATCTTGCTGTCATTTAGCTCCAGCTAGTCTCTTTAGAACTTCCGCAAAATGTGTCTTGCAAACTAAATAGAAAATATTGAACTGTGTCTTAGAAAATATCTATATTATCTAAACTTTTTTTTCGCATGTTGTGAAATTGCAACCACGAAGTTCAGTGTGTTTTGTTGGAATTTTATTTGATGATGTACACAAAGTATTAGACAATGGCAAAGTGGAAGAAGGAATATATGTATCACTTTTAAGGAGCTTTTATTCTGATAGCCTTAAAAAATTAATTGCGTCAAATTAATGCCTTTGTTAAATTTAAATCTCTGTATCAAAGTAGCTGCTCCCTGAGCACCTGAGAGGTTTGTTAAAACGCATTAGTGAGCAAACAGTATTACAAAGAGAAAAGAATGACTCTGGCTTAGTTCATACCTCTATTTGTACCCAATTTTTCTGCTTTATGCCATTTTTTACCCAATTGTATCTCAGTTTGTGCATCTTGCTAGAACATGATTTAAAGGTTGTTTATAGAGAGAATGTAGAATGACTGCAAACCAAGTAGGACATTGTCCAACAAAACCAACAAGACAAACAAAGCTTTAGTTACAGAAACAACCAAGAAGCCTTTTCTGGAGGAGGTGCAGGAAATCATCAGAGGATCTGTTTAAAGGAGACCTCCACAAATCTCACCTTGCTTGTGAAATGGTAAAAGAAGGCAATGGTGAAATAATGTCAGAGGTTTTCCAGAAGCCATGTAGGACACAGGAGACAATCCAAGGGAGGTGTTCGGGTCAAATTAGAAATTCAAAATTTTAGCCTACCTACAAAATGCTGTGGGAGAGAGGAACAGTGCAGATCATAATGAAAAACACTACAATATATTTGTTGCAAAGACATTCCTTGGGGGACCAGGAAGCTGATCGGAGTTGATGGGAATGTGACTGGAGCAAAAAAAAAAGTCAATTCTTGAAGAAAACGTCCATGAAACTACAAAGCACCTGAGACCAGGGAGGAAGCGGGACAATCCTAAACATACATCCAGAGCTACAATGTAGTATTGTGTTAGAGCGGCCCAGTCAAAGTACAGACCTAAATCAAATTGCTCGGGTGGTTTCAACATACCCCAGAAGACTTGAAACTGATTGTCGACTCAAGTGGCTTTTTGGAGTTTTAGTTGTGAAAAAAAAAAATAAAATAAAAATGAGGAAAGGCATGAATCATTTCACTGACACCTTGAGTCCCGTTGAAATACACTAAAGTCTACAGTAACAATATGACAAAGTATGAAAAAGATTAAAGCAGGAAGGAAAACTTCGGCTTAATCAAACCTAAAGTATGGAGCTTCACCAGAAGTGTCAGTGCTGTGCTGTGCCTTTGTAACTCTTGTTTATGTCCTCACAGGTCTGGGTATATCCTCCATGCTTATTGCTGTGGTAATTAGAGTACTCTTCACTTTTGTGTGTGTGTTACACGCGGGCTTCAACTTAAAAGAAAAAGTGTTCATAGCTCTTGCTTGGATGCCCAAAGCAACAGTGCAGGTGAGTCAGTGCTGGGAAATGTCAGTAAACTTTTTTTTTTTTGTTGTTGTTGTGCGCTTCAGAAAAACTAATTAAATGTACATGCACTGACATGTTTACATTTCAGTCGTTACTTAATGACAGTAGAAGCTATCAGCGAGTAAAGGGACGAATCACAGCTTGTTTTTGGGTCTTCCTCAGGCAGCAATAGGCTCCACGGCTTTAGACATGGCCAGAGCAAAGGGCAACAAGGAGCAGATAAAGTACGGCATGGACGTGCTAACTGTGGCCGTGCTCGCCATCCTTCTTACGGCCCCGGTAGGGGCTTTGATTATCGGGATCTTGGGGCCTCGCCTGCTGGAGAGACCTAAGACCCCCACCTGTGGTGAGCGAGTCAAACCCAGTTTATCAGCATTTTTCTTAGGTGGGTAAAATCTGTTATTTGACAATTCAGCTCAACTCGACAACCCTGTGTGACCCAGTTTCCCATAGCTACCTTCCTGTGGTGAATACAAGTCCTCTCCTTTCCATATTTCACCGTTGCGATATCTTTGCAAGAATTTGCATATCATTAGATCCCATGTAGTTTTCAATGTTTAGTGTAGCACGAGTGTAATATTGAAGTCAGTAGCTTAAAAATGCTTCTTTGTTACGCTTGTCTTTACCTTTTCTTTTTTTTTTTGATGAAAAACGTAAGCATCATCCAGGCACTACTTATGAAATCTCCACCATCTCTCCCTCCTTTTTCATCCCCTAGGCACCGCGGCAGGAAGTGAAGATGACACCAAAACTCCTGTCACCTTCGAGAGTACACTCTGACATCTTGATCTAATAAAGAGACCTCCAACGTCAGTTGTTTCAGCTGCTTTTAGCCACCGAGTGGCTCTCTCGTTGCTCAACTCTTTATGCTGGAATCAGCCTGTATTTATAGCAGCAGGTGGTTTCCAGGCACTGAGCTCCAAACACATTTCCATTGCCCTGCTGTGTGCATTCATGCTCTATGAACTTTACACCAGAGCTGCTTTAGTGTCGAGCTTGAACTGAACATTTATTTAGATATCCTGTAATTAGCATGAGGCAATTAAACAGTTTACAAGTTTTGTAAATTGGTAATGTTTCTTGCCATATTCAAAGTATCCAGTGGTTCTGTTTCCTACTTCCAGTAAACGGTACTTAAACTGAAATGGTAGTGCTTAACATAAGGATGTGTGTTTTACAAAGTGGTGACATGGTGTGTGGTTGAATGTATTTTTAGAGGAAGCCATCCAGAATCCACATTTTTAAATCTTTTTTTATTTTAATGCTGTATGTTTGTGCTGGGTTTTTTTATGTTTGTCATTAGGATGTGTGTGGATAATTTTTGTGATTTAGTTTACAACTCAGAAGATATTGATGTCACACTTTATTTGGAGTTATACAGAATGCTGCTTAAACTCAGCTTCATGCACTGTGGTCTAAAATCCCACATCGACTTTGAAGTTTATCTGAACTTTAATGTGATTGTATATTTTTAGAGATTATGAACAAATTTTATGTCTGTTAAGTGTTTGTTTTTTACTACAGAAATATGCAGTGTGCTGTTTTTAATTTGTTTACATTTTCATTGAGTAACTGAAAAGATTACAAATTAAGACACTATTTATGAATTTACAGTATTAGATTTTTACCGAACAATAAATGATCACATTTTCACAAAATTGTCTATTTATGCATATAGCCAAACAATCTAGCCAAATCTTTTATTAATTTGACACCCTGTGCAGCTGCAGATTTGTTTTGATTTTTCAGATTTTTTTCACACCAATTATCTCTGAAGCCAAATTATAATCCATCCAAACTGAGAAGTTAAACTACTTTACGACTTAAGCTCAGCCATTGTGTCCCAAAAAGGCATGCACACAGGTGCCTCTTCTTTCAAAAATTAAAATCTATTCATATTAGAAAAAACTCCTGGAGCATTGTTTTCGTTTTAGTTTTTACATTTTTAAAACCTTCCCAATTATTGCTGAGAATTTTCAGCTAAGTTGAAATGTCCAACAGCTTCTTGTCAAAGCCCCACCCTAAGGGCTCAGGGTAATGCATACAGTAATTCTTCCCTGCCAGCTGTTTTTGGAGAGCCAGAACGGGTTGGGAATAAAACCAAAATAAATTATCCTGACTTCTAAATTGGAAATGCAACCAATGCATTGCTCCCCAATGCAATGGAGCAAGAGCCAGAATGTTGATGCAAACTAGTTGTACCAATGAGCCGAGTCTGTGTTGCCAATTATACAAAGTTCTGCAACTTGACAAGTTAACAAGATGATTCCTTTCTATTTATTCCATTACTATAATAACACATGATGCTTTAATTTTCATAAAATGTGGATCATGTAAATCTGAACTTTTGATAGATGGTGAACATCAAACCCATGAAGCACATACTCTGTGGTTTATGAAACTCAGAGCAGCCTAAGCTGATTCTGTTTACTGTTGCAGCACAGATGTTTAATGCAATTGTATAAAGAAATTAAATTAAAGACAAGGACATGATAAACTGAGTTAAAAGGGACATTCACTTAAATTTTCCTCTTAAGTTACATGAAGATTTTCAAAGTATTGAATAAGAAGCTGAGGTTCTGCCAACTGAAGCAACTGAATTACTCATGATCACTTCCATTAACATTTAGTATGAACAACTTAGTCTAGCAAACATTAACATACATGAAGTTATTTATAAATACCAAACAAAGAACTAACTGTGAAAGCAAATGTTAAGTGTGAAAATATTTTTTGCTTCATACTACAGGAAGTATTCTGCCAAGAAGCCAAACACAGTGAATTCAGCAAGTCAAACTTGTTGCAGTTCTGAAACCTCAACAGCACAGTGGTTTGAAATGTTTCAACACAACAGCAATAAATGTCTATGAACAAAACATAAAGAATCTACAGTAAGTATCCCATGCATTATGAATACATACACTCATTACATACATACATATTGATCTATCAGCAAATATCTTACACCTCCAAAGTGTTGTGGTAAAAACAATTTGGCACTCAAGCAGGCAAATGGTCTTAGAAACAACTAAATGAAGGCATACATGACAAAATGTTACATGCAAGTTGGACTAATAAATTGGGTATTTCATTTAAACAACCATTATACTGAGTGGAGCAAAAACCAGCCCTCAGGCTCCAGGTCACATTATAAGAAGGTATCATAAAGTTAGTTAACGCTTTGGGTTGTTCCATTAAAGTGGTCCCAGTGAAATTGAATGTAATCCCGACATATAGAGACAAACACTTTTAAAGTATACTGTATAAACAATTATGTATGTAAATTAGAAGACCAATGAGAGCTTAACTGAAGAAAAACAAAACTACCCCAACTAGAAAAATTCAAATTCTCACTCAAACAATGGACTGCATTTTATAAGGAAAACAAAATACCAGGAAAAGATGAAGTACAGACTAGTCCGACGTAAACTTCTTTCCGTGGTCAATTATAGTATCTTCTTTTTGAGGATGAGAGGTCCCACGTTGTCCCCGGTTAATTCGTTGTGCTTTAAGTGTGACTTGTCGCAAACAGGAAACTAAAAACAGGAAATAACTTTATGTTAGTGGATCAGACAGTCGCATCAACCACTTCAGAATGCGCGACAAAACACAGGATCACTTGTCACTGCAGGTTAGCTTTTGCAGGATTCTACGGTCAAAGCCGAGAAGTCAACTCACAGTTTTGGAGCGCCAGCATCGACAGTAACACACATTTGCGCTGTTCAAGTCCTCGATGTCTATCTCGTTGACCACTTTGGGGTTCTCTTTCTGGATCTTCAGGTTGATCAGGCTGTCTCTCTGCTTCTTTTTCTTAGGCAGGAACGGACGAATGGTCAGGTAGCCCAGCAGGGCCAAAATGCCAAGGAGAGGCAGCAACCGGAGCCACTCAGACACTGTGGACATACATAAGAAATTGAACTTCATCATTCAGGCTGGAGCACAACTAGAATGTATGCTAAAGCCACTTTTAAGGCACTGTGTACCTTGTGGCTCAGATCATCTTGCAAATATTAATGGCGACACGTATATTTGCAAGATTGGGTAAGCCAGCCTTACCCAATAAACAATTCAGTTGCCCCCTAGTAACAACTGGTTGTGCCACTTTTAGGGGCAACAACTACAATCGTTTGTGAGTTTTTACATTTCTGTGTAGGACTTTGGTTCAGTCTCTATGCAGAATTATTTTTAACTTAACCACATTTGAGTGTTTGAGTATGAACAGATTGTTTCAGATAAATAAGATAAAGTGGCCTAGTCAGACTCCACAAAACCTCCCTTCTGTATTTTTTTTTTTTTTTACCACTGACCCATTCAGAGGTCGCCATACTTGTGCGAATTAGATCACTGTCCTGCTAAGTGCCTGAGTCATGATGAACTCAGGCACTTAGCTGGACAATGGAGAGTCTTTTTCTGAAAAGCTCTGTTCAAAAACTTTCTAATATTTCTTCACAGGTTTTTGCCCCTTGAGTATCATCAAGACTTTTTTTTTGACGAATATGAGCTTTGGTGTTCTTTTTGATCGGCAGTGATTTAAAATGGCTTGTACTTTGACTGCACTTTATCTAGTCTAAGACCCCAAAGCATTTACGCTGCATTCAGTCACATACCCGTTCACACACACATTCACATGCTGATGAGCTACTATTCTAATACATCTGGAAAAAAAATAGAATATTGCGTAAATGTGCAATATTTCTTGCCAGCTACCTTCAAAAGTGAAACTATATATTACCTAGAATCATCACACATGGTGATATAAAAAATTAAATTACTTTGAAAAAGGTCAATATTGTTAAACTCATGGTGTCACACCCTAATTAGCTAATCAAAACACCTGCGAAGGTTTCCTGAGTCTTTGAACAGTCTCACTCACTCACTCAATTACAGGGAAGACTCTGTGTTGACTCGGCAGATGTCCAGAAAACATCATGAACATTCTTCACAACCAGGAGAGGCCACAAAAGGTCCCTGGTGAAGAAGCTGGTTGTTCAGAGTTTTGTATTCAAGCATGTTAACAGAAAGTTGAGTGTAAGGAAGAAGTGTGGTAGGAAATGGCACACCAGCAACAGGAAAATCCCCAGCTTTGAGAGGATTGTTAAGCAAAGAAGAGCCACCACACACAGACAGACACTAAACATGGGTTAGAGATCCTCCATTCCCCGTGTCCAGACACTACTGAACCGGAGACAATGTTTCTGACGTCTTCCATGGGTTAAGGAGAAAAAAAAAAACTGGAGTGCTGCACAACGGTTCCAGAGTAGACTTAGGCAATATGCTGAAAACGTATCATGATATAAGCATTTCAATAATTCAATAATTATAGATTAGTTGTTTGTTATAAATATCTGAAACACTGCCAAACTGGTGGCATGACCTATTTTGAGGAAGCTATGAGGCACAAAACTTGGGATGTGCAAGTATTTTCTATTGACTTTGATCTTTTGTATAATGTGATATTATGGATTTATTGCCCAGGCCTAGTCAAGAGTCCTGTTTTCAGATAAATTATGTAAATTCTGCATTTAATTTGGAAGTCAAGATCCTAGAGTATGAAGGAAAAATCTGGGCTTCCATTACACTTACAAAGTTCCACAAGCTGACTGCCTCCATACCACGATGCATTGTTGCATTAATTCATGCAAGCCGAGGCTTAAAATACTTTTCAGAAGTCTGAAATGTGTTTCTAAAACATCCGTTTTTATTCATCTAATAATAGGATATTCTAATTCACTAAATTTTGGGTTTTCTTTACCTCTAAGGCATAATCATTAAAACTGCAAAAAATAAAAAATAAAGGCTTGACATATCTATGTATATCTAATCTCTATAAAATAGCTGTTTCGCTTTCTGTGATAGCTGGCAAGAAATATTGCACTTTATGCAGTATCCTAATTTTTTGAGATGTAGCACATTCAGTCATTCACCCTTTCATGTACACAGTCACACACTGATGGCTTTATTGCAGGCACAGCTGCCCAGTGGCAGTCTGACAGCGATTTAGGCCCTGAAGCTCACCTCGTCTCTTTCTTTTTGCCGAATCCTGAACACTGACCTTGACTGAAGCAAATGAGGTCTGCAGTGTCTCAGACGTCATCCTGGGATCTATTGTAATGTCTTGAATGAGTCGTCAAGAAGCACTTGGAGGAGTTTTGGTAGACCAGCCACTTCTGGGAAGGTTCACCACAGTCTCATCAGAATAATGACTCTTACTGTGGCTCACTGAGTGGTTTTATAACCCTCTCCTAAGTGATACATATCGATGACTTTGTTTCTCATCTGTTCTGAAATGTATTTAGATCAGGGAGTAACGTGTCATTTTCAAAAAAGAAAAAAAGGCCATTACTTTTTTTTTTTTTACCTAACAGTTTGCTTAGCTAAACATTTTCCCCTTGATTAAATCAGCATTTAATATCTGATTTTTGTATTTACACAAGTAATGTTTATCTGATAGTAAAACTTCCTCGATCTGAAACATTTGAGTCCGTAGCTGTGCATAACTATTAGATACATCCCCTGGAAGTTCTGCAGATGTATCTGTAAAAAAGATACAGGTTCTATTACAGCATTGAGGTTTGGGGCAGAGAGGGGGGGATATGGTGTATTAGCATGCAAACAGAGGCTATTTCAAGATTTTTTTTAACCAATGCATCTATGAGATGCATTAAAGTATTAATGTTTCAGCTTCTATGGATCTTGGGTAATAAGTAAAAACAGCCAAGTACTTATGAAACAGGAAACAATGTGAATAAATTTTTTCTAAGACTTGAAATGTAATACCTGTAGGTTAAATAACCAGCTAAGCACATAAACTGGGGGGTCAGTTTGACCAAACCTACTTTTCCCTTTGCTACACCAGACAACAGCTGGTACTGACACAAAAATAATATTAGAACTGAATGCCTTTTTATATTTATTTTTTCTTGTTTTATTTTTGCTTGTGTTACCATTTCTACTTAATTAAATAGATGCTTGGAAGATTATCACTTGTAGATCTGACTAAAAGTTGCAGATAGTCCTGGCTCTAAAGATCCTTTTTTTTTCTTCAAATAACTAGTAACTCCATCAGCAAACCATTATGTTTGATGTCCTCCCTTTTGCATTTTTTCAACACCATGAATTGTCCATGCCAGGGTATTACTGTCTATAATAACTCATGATTTGCATGCCAATAATGTATTCAGCCTGTTGGATAGAGTCCAGAGTACTGACTGAAACGATTGTGTCCAAGATGCTGAAGGTCACAGATAGTTCTAACCATTTTTATGACATATGGAAACCATAATGTGATTTTTTTTTTACATTAAACTGTAGGTTTGCCTATCACATAAAGTTCCAGTTCACTTTCAGTATACAAAGTTTAAAGAACACACTACAGAAAATTGCAATTTCTATTGCAAATTTAATATTGCAGTCAAAAAGGACCAATTTGCTGCAATAGATGGGATAAAATATTTAATGATCCATAATATATTTTGTCAGTTGAATAGAATTGTGCTGACCTCTGTAAAGAATAAACTGTCTAAATAGATTAGACGCAGTGGTGGGGAGATTGTGATGATAATGAAGAAAGCACGTGGTGCGGTGATGACAAAAAATATGTCTCAATATTTGACAATGATATCGCACTGTTACGTCCTCATTTCAGCCCTACTTTTAACAAGAATCGAGGTAAAAAGTTATGCAAAGTAGCTTAAACAAGGACTTACTGAAATATGCATTGAAACATTTGAGCCTGCAACTGTGCATAACTAGTAGATACATGCCCTGGAAGATCTGCAAAAATAAAAGATGCTTCTACAGATTCTATTACAGCATTGAGGTTTGCAAATATAAATTTACAAGATCCTAAACTTACAGTCAAGTCTTTCCCTCATTTTATAATGCAAAACAACACACCCTGCGAGCCTGCTCTGTCATCATGTTCTTACACGATATCAAATCTATTCTTTATAATGAGCGCAAAAACAACTACTGCAAGACAAAAGTGAAATTTAAACCAAAAGACCCAAAACGGGGCAGCAAAGTCTCTACGTTGCAGATCATCTGTTCATTTTTTCATCGTTACCAACAGAAACTGACTTTAAGTTCCTCAGCCCTGAGATGAAGTTATGTAACTCGTGAGCTAAACTACATTATGCACTACTCTTCCTGCATTCCTCTAAGCGCTGTTTAAGGTCTCACATTATTGGACAAAGCATAAGCAATGTGCTGGTAAAGTTGTGATGCCCGTGCAGGCTACTGATCAGAGCTGAGTGCTAAGTGTTAACTGTCCCCGAACAGTTCACGAGTTCATCCTCACGTTACAACCACCGCGACTGCCGTAAATTACCTGTTAACCTCGCAAACCCTCCGATAGTCTCCGGCAGCGGCAGCTTCTTCAAGTAGGCCGGAAGCTGCACTTTTATTATCTTTGAAATTGTTTCTAAAACCATCTTGAGTTGCTCGGCAGGGCCGGGTTTTGAGTTTGACTTGGGCAGTTCCTGGGGATCGTTTGTGTCACTGCGCTGTTTTATGAGCGCAGCTCGACGCCGGTACGTAAACTTAAGCCACCACAAAAAGAGGACGAACAAAACGGGGCGTAAATGGGTTTAGAAATTTGCGTAGAGGTGACACGTGATCTTAGTTGACGGCCAATCAGCGTCAGAGGAGTTGGTGGCTTGTGATTGGGTAAGTTGAACTGAGCAAAAAGAGGAAGGGTAGGTTAAAAAGCATTTTTACATGAATGTAGAACAGATCTTCTAGTTATGCAGAAAACTATAGAATGTCAAAAATTGAAATGTGTTATAATATCCCAATAAATTAGGTTCATTTACATTGCGTATGAGGTTGTGTTTATGTTTTTAAACATGGATGATTATGACCTTGTGAAAAACCCAAAATTTGGTTTTTCACAAGGTTAGATATTACATAGGAACAATGATAAAAATCGATACAGAAATGTGTTATGATCATGTTATTTCTCACTGTGTCACAACTGACAAATATCTTAGTGCTTAATACAAAGTTGAAAAGCTAGTGTTGTAGAAAAAAAGATGCAGCAGGGCTAAAAATGACTTTTCCTTTCCGCTTAACTTTTCATTATACTGAGAGAGCTCTCTGGGAACTGCTGGCTTCTTCAGAAATAAAATTTGCCTTACTGTCCTCGTGAAGGATGACCGTGCACTGGAAACTGTCAAGTCATCAGTCAAGTCATTGTTTATGCAATATTATGTTTCGTATCACATCATTTATTTTATTTATTTTTAATCCTATTTATTAGTTTTATGTTATATTTAAATTTTCTATGAAATAGAATTTTGAAGTTTTATTACTTTCAGTGACATATAATCTAAACTGATGGTAATTATAATACATTTTAGTCAAACTCAGTTGACCAAATCATCCCAGGTAGTTTCTTGTGACAAGCAAAGCGGCACATGCAAATCTATGCCTAAATGTTGCAGGTGGTAATTTCTTTAATTCTGCTATGTTTGATTTTTATTTGTATGCAGAAATAAGTAGGCCTGCTAGATTGTCAGTTATTGTGTAGAGCTGTCAAATTGACATGAGTTGTTCCCAATTAAACACAGCTTAGGACTGCAGTAAAGAATGAAAACTGTTGTACAGGGCCTGAAGACTACCGATAGTAGCTTATGTGAATACTGAATATAGACAGAGAAGTGTTATAAAAATAGTTTCAAAACAATTTCATTGTAATGTATAAATTAAATGACAAGACTTCATATATGTTATTTAGAGATAATCTTTGACCCCCTAGGACAGCCAGTGAACTATGTAGGGCATGCAATAAGAAAATAACAAATTAATGCAAATGATGAGCTGATGCACAAGGTAAGGTAAGGTAAGGTAAGGTAGGGTAAGGTGAGGTAAGGTTGAGAGATCGATTGACCAGATCCATAATTTGTAGATCTGGATGATGTGCAAAGAAAGGCTCCAAAAATATAGAAAAAGACAGGACAAAAACAGAGCAAGCAAGGCAGGCATGGGCAGGGAGGGAGCATAGGAAAAAAGTGTCTGCCTTCATCGAGAGCAAGAGAGAACAAGAACAAGCAAGAGATTCTGAGAACAATTGAGACTGAAAAAAGATTTAGAAAATATATATTAAGATAAACATTATCACTATAGATACTTGTCAAAAATGAAACTTTTAGAATATATTATTTACTAATTAGAAGTGGCATTTCGTAACTGTATTGATTTTTTTTCTGTGTTTATAAGAGGGAGAGATAACCACCCGAATATCCGTTTGTAAGATATTGTTCACACAAAAATATGCCACGGTTTAGTTATCTGTTTCACTGTTATTTATGTGACTTTTACTAAAAGTCGTCTATGAGGTCGAGGCGCCCTCTAGAGCTGAAGCGGAATTCTCTCTCGCTAATAGTCTGCCACGGACTTCAATACCCAGAGTGCACCATGAGTGAAAGACGAACGTTTTTGCCTGTAGGAAAAATGAGAACATTAATGCTTGTGTTCATTTTTATATCCAATAAATACATTTTTTTAATGATAAAATGTTGATCATTCATAAATACTAATTTTGTATTTTAAGACAAATCTATTTTCAAGCTTGTTGGTACTCTTGAGTTTCACTGGATTTTTTTTAAGTCAGCTAAATTCTACGTACGAAGTCCTTAGCCTGTGGTGTCATTGCTGAATGACCGAAGATGTCTCATAGCAGGTTGTTTGCCAGGCTGCTTTGTAAGTATTTTATTTAAGTGCGGGTTTTTTCGCTTGAGAAGTTTAGGAGTTTAGTTATTGTACCGCAGAATGTGTGCGCAGGTGTTTTTCGGAGATGTACGGACAACTCTACACTGACACCTGGGTTAGCTTTCACTGAGCTCTCAAAGTCAGACTCATCAGTCGCTGAAGTAATCTGGGAAATCTCTCTTGACAGTCAGCCAACTTGCTTGGTGGTCAATTTATAGTAACGAAACTCGCATTCACTTCTATAACAATGTTATCATTATCTGACCTTGCATGTTCTGAACAGTCAGAGTTATAACTTCTTTGTTGCAGCCACTCTTGTAGAAATGGCTAATTTAGCCACACACTTAGCTGTTTGCAGCTGTATTATAGCAACACTTGATGTTAGCCTTAAGGTTTGCTCAACAGGTGCATATAGTTTGATAGCATTACCAACATACAACACTGTTTTTGTCAATGCCATAGTTATATTATCAAACTCGTATTGACTCTTTGAACTTTGCACAGTGACATTGTTCAGCTCTGCATGAGACTCTGAAAACGGAGCAAAGTTCAACCACCGATCTGCTGCAGCAGCTGCTGCTGTTTTCTGCTGCAGGCCATTAACGGTGCTACACACTCAGAAGTAAAGAAAAAGTAAAGAAAGCATGCCTTAAACTTTAGAGCACTTATCTAAAATTAGGACTTAATAGTGAAGTACAAGAAAAAATATGCATGATAAATTTTTCAAGCCTTTCTAAGCATAAATCGAAAGCGTTGTATTTTTATTCGGTCAATGTTGAGTCAATATTTACTGCAACCAATAAGTACAGGTGCACATTGTTTGGTCCTCATCTCTACAAGCACTTCACATCCATTGAGACAAACTTTCACACTTTCACACCTAGATGAATGAAATTGGATGGAGTCAGAATTTTTTTAAAAGTCGTAATATTTAGGTTTGGGCATTGAATGGGCTTAACTTTGGACGCTGACTTATTCTTGGCTTATTCTCTGGTTAATACTCCTGTTGCTCTTCGGTTTAGATGGATGATGACTATCTCTTGGTAAGTTTCTAGTTGTGCAATGCTTTTTACCTTTCAAGGTTACAGATTAAGCAGTGTTTATTGAGATGTTCAAAGCTTAGTTCGTTTTGTTTTAAACTTCTCCACTGTTATCTCTGATCTGGGTGCTACAAGGCGATTTCTTATACGTTGTATTTAGGGGTAATCAATCAATCAATCAAATTTTATTTGTACAGCACATTTCAGCAGCAAGGCATTTCAAAGTGCTTTACATCATTAAAAACAAAAACACAGGGGTAAGAGAGTCAACAGGACTAAATGCATGTCACACTTTTCAGGTTGAAAAGTTGAAAATAATAAATTGGAAAAACAAGCATAATTTTTATTCCACATCAGAGTCATGAACTACTTTGATCGTCTGTCACATAAAAAAAACCCAATGATTTGCATCAAAGTATAAGGTGGTAATGATATATCGCATGAAAATGTTCAAGGAGTTAGAATACTTTTTAACAGGACACATATCAAGTGCAAAGAAGAAAAAATATTGATTGTGGGGGAAATGACATGTTGACCATACAATGAAAATAATTTGAGACATTTGAAAACGTCTGCATCGATACAGAAAGATTGATATTTAACTTTATGCTTGCAGCAGCCTGGGTCCTTCATATTTCGGTGATTGATTGATATATTTTGTTTAGCGCCTAATCTCTAAGAAAAGCTGGTATTGCACACAGCTGCAATCACAAATACTTAAAATTTAAAACATTTTTAAAAGTCTATATTTTTTTCTGCTCTATTTAGTTCCACCCAGCTGTTGTAAACACTGGGACTGACCACTAGCTTCTGTTTTGGCTCATTGAGTTTATAGAGCAGTTTGCTCAGAGTGAAAACTTTTAGGCTGCAAAAAAATATATTTGTTTTTTCCAATATTGTTTAATAAAGTAGTTTATGAAATGTCAGGATGCGGAGGGGGGCAAAGGCCAGTCCTCATTCCCAGAGCTTGCAGTGACATTTCAGAAGCTCACGCCGACAAATGGGTTTGCTCAACAAGTAGCTAACATGATTAACTGATTTAACCTTATTTTGCTGATGTTATCAAGTCATGTGCTTCCTACATTCATTAAAGCATCATATTATATGCATTGAACTGTTAGATCGGTTGAACTGCAGGGTGATGAGGTTAGGTCGGATGTGAAAATATCTCATTGCTTCAGAATTAAATGGTCGGTGTTTAAGACTTGGAGCAGTTGTGAAACTGAGCTCCTGTTACATAAACACACACGTGTACGCATACTTTGTAAGATCGGTATCTGATGCTCTACAGATTTTTGACTTGTTGGCAGCGCCACTGCAGAAGCAACCCAGTAAATATGTTCAATTCTAAATACTGAAGAGGGTTTTGATTACATCTTCTGAAAACGGGAGCCATTAAGTCTGCAGAAAGCTGGTGGTGTAAAGCAAGAGTGATTTTTGTTGAAACACTGCAGAGTATTTAGCTCGGATTTGATTATTCTCCTTGAAATGAAGTAAAACTTTAATATTTTATTGTCAAACAAGACTTGGAGTGTCTGAATGTTGGATAAACTCTATTTTATCGAACCGAATGTTTTCCAACCACAGCTGTGAAAGGCTTTGTTGAATAATGTCAGCTTGTGTATTGATGTCTTTCACCTGATTGCTCCCTGTGTTGCTTTTCTTCTGTATTGATCCAACAGTGCAGCAGAGTGGAGTCAGACACTGTTATACAGGAAGCAGAAAGAACCTCTACATCAACAAGAACACGAAGGTCATCTGCCAAGGTTTCACAGGAAAGCAGGTTTGTAACCACGACTCGTCTGGATTCTTGTTTCGCATCACTTTAGTTACTTGCGACTCGGTAGTAAAGACTCAGCTTTTCAAGGGAGCACAGACCTTTAATTTTTGCATTTTATAATGAGTGGATGGAGATGATTATTTTTCCCTCACTCCCTTGTCTTTCCACTTGCCAGCTAGCTGTCTTTTCAGCAGCCCTGCCTTTAAAACAAAATATCTGTAACGTTACACACTATCAAAAGTTTAATTTAGTCACTTCCGGTTATGGTGTCTCAGTGAAAGGTGTATGTGCGTATGGCTCGCTGCTAAATCCTCTCAATTAATCCGTAAGTCAGACCAATATTGGCAATTTCGCCTGTTTTGCTTACGGGAAAACGCTTACTGGGGATCATGCCACCGAAAAATGCCAAACCGGTCCAACAACCGACTAAAACGGCTCCACAAGTGAATGCGGCTAATGTAGCTCATGTGGCTAATGTAACTCATGCGGCTATTGTAGCTCATGCGGCTATTGTAGCTCATGCTAACATGGCAGTGCCGGTTAACTTGGATGAGGCTCAAGAAGCGCCAACTAACCGTGATATTCTCTGAGCAATCAGCTTACTGAAGGAGGATATGAACAAACATTCTGCTGATATGCTGAAAGCAATTAAGGATATCAAAGGGGATAGACAATCGCTCACTGCAAGAACTGGGGAAACAGAAGCGCGAATTTCACAAGCAGAGGACGATGTCACTTCCCTTCAAGGCAGAGTTAAATCACTGGAGAAAACAGTGGAGGTGCTTTCTGACAGAGTTGCGGAGCAAGAGGACAGGAGCAGGCGCTCCAACCTGAGACTGGTCGGGCTGCCTGAAAAATCCGAGGGATCGGATCTGTGTGGCTTCTTGGAGAAGTGGCTCCGAGAGACATTAGGTGAGGACTTCACCTCGTCCCGCTGTGTGGAGAGCCCATAGGATTGGTTCCCTTACCTCCAATCCTGCGGCTCCAAGGGTTGTTTTAATGAAGTTTCAGAGCTATCGGGACCGGGAAGCAACTCTGAAAACTGTCAGGAAAATGAAGGAGGTACACTATAAGAACCACCGCGTCACCTTCTTCCCTGACCTTTCGGCCGAGACTCGCAAGATGCAAAGACGCTTTGATGGAGTGAAAATCCGGCTTCGTGCCCTTAAAATTCGGTATGGCATTCTGTATCCAGCCCACTTAATCATCACACATAACGACAAGCGCCGGATCTTCAAATCCGTGGAAGAAGCCGAAAAGTATATGGATGGAATAAGCTCGCAGGCTGAGGACAACGCCAAGACTTAGTTTGTACTCGCCGTTCTTTTTCTGGCATGGTTCCTAAAAGTAACTCAGTATTCTCAGAACGGTTTGTTTCTGTATGTGGAAGCATGAACACTGTTAATATTTCTTTATTACACCTTTGTAATGTTAGCAAATCTCACCTTAATTATTGATATTTTGGTCAGAGCGTTTTTTGTTTATGCCAGCCAACCTATACATGACCATTGTTATGCGTGCAGACTTTTACGTTACCCACTTGGTGGCTGCAACGTTTCATATAACCCAAGTTCAATATTCAGAAGGGGTTAACGCCACATTTCGTTTGGGGAAATATGTGGAGATTTGGGTTATAGGGCTCACTCTGGATACTGTATTTTTGTGGACTTTACACTACTTGAATGAGAGAATAGGAAGGGGCCAATGTATTTTATTTGTTTACATCTCCAATTACACAATTTATGTAAAAAAATATAGGGGACCTATATAGTGAAGGAGTTTTAATGTCCTTTGAACAACTGGTAAATAAGTACAGCCTGCCCCAAAAGCATTTTTTTAAGTATTTACAGATTAGAAGTTTTGTTTTTGCCTCACTGAAATCTACGACTAAACCTCCACTCTCTTCCATAGAGAATATAGCCGTTCACCATAATCAGAGTAGAGGCCTACTTTCCAAATTTTATAATATTTTACTTTTAGCTTCAAAAGAAAATAGTCTCTCATATTTACAAGCCTGGAAAACTGATCTGCAAACGGAAATCCCTGAGGATGAATGGAATAACTCATGTCTATTGGCACAAACGCAAATTATTAACACAAGGTTTAGACTATTACAATACAAATGGTTATTTAGAACGTATATCACTCCTGTAAAACTTCACCATTTTAATTCAAATATTCCTGATATCTTTGTTAAATGTAATATAGATAAGGGTACTCTTTTCCATTGTATGTGGCAATGTGTAGAACTTCAAACTTTCTGGAAGGAGGTTATTATGTTCATCTCTCGTTTGATCGAACAGGATTTTCCAATGGACAGTAAACTTTGCTTACTGCACATTTTTCCAGATGGATTTAAAGGTCCTACAAAGAGACAGAAGCTTGTGACTTTTTGCCTCTTGCAGGCTAAACATTTGATTGCTCTGAAGTGGAGGAACACAGAAAGACCAAAGATAAATGAATGGATTAAACTATTGAGCAACAACCTGGCAATGGAAAAGCTGACATATTTAACAAAAGGAAAGCTTGAAGACTTTAAAGATATTTGGTTTCCCTTCCTACATCTTGTCAAATACTGTGACATGTAAAGCTAATTTTTCTTTTCTTTTTGTGTAGATAGAGTGAGCCCTGGGGTTTGGTGTTCTTTTTTTTTTACTTCATGTTTTTTTTGTGTGCATGCGTGCGTGCGTAAAGCAGAAAATTCTAATAAAACTATCTTGGAAAAAAAAAAAGTTTAATTTAGTGTCAAACAGCATTGTTGCACCTAAAATCAGATAAAATCGAAGTTGAGTTTTTGTTTTATTTTTTAACATACTCTGTGAGATAGCTGTTAACGAGAGTCAAAATCATGTGGGCATTGAATCTGGGCTTTATCTCGTTTCCTTAATCATGAGCAGGTTTTTTTTTTTTTTTTTTTGCCTTGATATGAGGTCATGTTTTTTAGCCTGCCTGCCTTTTTTTTCTTCCCAACAGCAAGCCTTTAGCATTCTTTCAATTCATAAGTCGATGGTAATAAATCTGAACGACAGATTGTTTATTCCTGAAGTGAATCTGTAAGAGAGGAAAAGCTGAGGAGAATCTCATTAAACAAGGCGGGGATGATAAAAGTCTTGACAAAGTGTGCTCAATAAGCCAGAAACCTGGTTTCCATAGATTCATATCCGCCCTCTGTCCTTTAGCACATTTGTTTCTCCAGCTTCCCATCGAGGGTTGTTAAATATAGTTCCAGTGAACACTCCTGGTAATTAAAGGAAGACATGAAATGAAGCAAGTGCTATTGGGTGCACATGGCCATGTCCTTCTGCCTTGATAAGCAAGCAATTTTTCAAAAATTATTATCCCAACATTTTGGATGGTAATGAGTGCCAAAAACAGCAGAGTTAGCAGGGTGAAGGAGTCTATTACACATGGAGGTGAAAATGCTGATGCATGGCTTCCAATTCTACATAATAGGCTGGTTATCATTTTTGCATTAAGGTAATTTATTTCCGCTTGTAGTTTCTGCTCGTCCTGCTTTGCCTACATTGTTTTATCTTTGCTTCTATTTAACCGACTTCATCCTCTGAGGATTAGTGTGGCAGAAAATCAGCTTGGATCAACTGCATGCACCAGTTATTTATGCACATAATTTATGGGCCAAACATTTTTTCTATTATATATCTAATTGGATGCTTCTCTTTATAATTTTTTTTTAAATTGACTTTTAGTTCAAATTATCTTTCAAGGTGCTAGTTATTTGAGCAGGAAGTGGTAATGATTCCCCAAGTTTGCAGTAATAGTCTTCACCTCATGCATTCATCACATCTAACTTTTTTCAGGAGAAAATAGGAAATCAGCAAGTCATACAAAAAAGCAAGAAAGATAAACCAGGAAAAGCTTGATACTTGTCTCTGGTGTTTTTTCTAATAAAGTACAACGGATGATGAACTGAGTCAGTGTGACAGCTTCTCAGTCTGATACAAGGCAACCATTTTGATAAAAAGTATTTTCTTACGTTTGGTTTGACTGCACTTGAACATTCAAGTTCCTGACGAATCAGAAGGAAGATACCGAGAGGGCGTATTTGAGGTTATTGCTACCTTTGTATATTCAGTAGGTAAGAGTCAGAAAATTTCCCCCTGATGTGTTCTAATCAATAAATAGGTGATATTCTGAAAAACCTATATTCCCCTTTATTTATTACATGTAGTTTAACTAAGAGTACAAACTATTTTCAGTCTATAAATATATCAATCTGCAGCTTTGACACACTTTGAGTTTTGGTGAAAAACATGTCTTTAAAACATAAATAGGGATGATCATTTAACTCCATTTCAGCTGGATTCAAAACGACTACCTGTAGAAGTTATTTGTTATTTGTGTTATGTCCCTCACAAAGAAAATCTGTTAAACTCAGAATTGACAAACCTTAAAGTTAACTGGAAATCCACATCAGCCAGGATGACACGAGCGGGGTGTATTGAATTATATTGAAAGGCGACAAAACCTGAAGCTCAGCTGAGTCTGTGTGACAGATATGAATACAAATGGACTTTTTCTTCAAGACTTCTTGTTTGTTTTTTGTTTGAGTTTCTTTCCAGGCTGAGGGAGATGATTTCACATTGCTATTATTTGTTTATTTGTACGCAGTAAGTAAGGAGAAGTCCTTGAGCTGTACGTAAACTTTTAAAGTGTCAGGAATTAAAATTCCCCAAATGTTGCAATACAGCTGTGACACTTCCTCTCCGGCGTCTACGGTAGTGACAGCATCTGAAATATTCTCACAAAGTCTCTTTGGTGTGAAATATTTTACAGCCAGTGTCGATGGGGAATATCCTGGCTGCTTTTTTAAATTTGTTTTTCAAATGTTCTGCCAGGAGATTAAACTAATATCACACCATTATTTATTTGTGAAGGACATTTCGATTCCTTCTCACTAAATAAATTTTCTGCTAGCTTCATCTTCTCCTGGTGCTCAGCCTGTGCCCAGCTCCTCAGGTGATTAATCCTGGGTGGAAGCATATTTTCCCCTAAACATGCCTGCAATGATATCTCAATGGGGACTCTCTAGAAGTGGCTGCATCCCAGTTCATCACTCACACCTGCACACTAATTCCTGCTTCTTCCTGTCTGGTAGGGAACATTTCACAGTCAGCAGGCTCTCGACTATGGCTCGCAGCTTGTTGGAGGAGTTTCTCCTGGGAAAGGCGGGAAGACGCACCTCGGCTTGCCTGTCTTCAACTCGGTCAAGGAGGCAAGTCATTTAAAAAAACAACAAAAAAAACCCAACATATTTGAATCATATTTTTAATGAAAAAGCATTGTTAATATCGGAAGTAATCCTCCAGCCCATGATGACTTATTTATACAAGTCTATAACATTAGGTGGCGCTGTTTGATAACCTCAGAATTTCCCAACATCTTTCATTCATTGTTTCAGGCAAAGGAGGGTACAGGAGCCGAGGCAACTGTGATTTATGTACCTCCGCCGTTTGCGGCCGCCGCCATCATCGAGGCAATAGACGCAGAGATACCCCTGGTGGTGTGCATCACCGAGGGAATCCCCCAGCAGGACATGGTGAAAGTCAAACATAAGCTCTTGCGTCAGAGCGCCACCCGCCTCGTAGGCCCCAACTGCCCAGGAGTCATCAATGTAAGCGCACACACAGATGCTCGATGATGCCAATGCCTTTTTATGTGTGTGTGGTGTAGAATAGAGATACAAGTACAAAGTGCATCACATGGATTGGCAGGTGCTTTATATTCAGTGGACAGATGGGCTTTAATCTAAAGCTAAAATCTGGTGACTTATTCATTTAATTTATGGCAAAGATCTGACAAAGGAGATAGAATTTGCTTCGTGTAATTTTTAAGACAAAAAAAAAAATACTGCCAGAGAAATATTTTTAGTGAAGAAAAATGAAACTTGGACGTGAGAGCTTGACATCCATTTGGCAATTTGAATTTATTATATTGTAAAAAAATAAATAAATAAATAAAAAAAGGTAATTCCTTCTGCCTTTTTTACAGCCTGGAGAATGCAAGATTGGAATTATGCCTGGACACATTCACAAAAAAGGAAGAATTGGTGAGAACAATATACATGTATTTTGTTCCTTTTTTTAAATTGGTATGAAAATATTCTAAATGTTATGGTTTAAAAATAAAAATAATCTTTTTTTATTATTATTATTCTAACAGGGTACTGGGCTGAGTTAATAGCACCCCTGCTAAAAATGTGTGAAAAGCACTAAACTAAATATTTATTTACTCTACTTGCATAATATCACACTGAGAACAAAAAAATCCAACAATTTATGCAGTGTGGGAAATATTTCCACATTAAGAAATGCTTGTTTTAAACAAAATAAGCAGAGGTACAATAATCGGCACTCCTGCTGTCAATACATCTTACAACCCCCTCGTGCCAATAGGACAGCTCAGTCTTTATTGCATTTGAAAAGGTTGGAGCATTCCCTGAGAGACGGACCATTGTCGGTCCTCTATGCACAATCTTTCTAGATTATTCAGACCCTTGGGTCTTCTTTCATGCACTCTCCTTTCAAACTCTCCTCTAGGTTTTCTGTACAATTTAGATCTGGAGACAGAGAATGGAAGAATGTTGATTTTTTTTATGTCTGCTGAATCATTTCTGCGTTTATTTACGCATGTATTTTGAATCCTTTTGTGTTTAAAGACCCAATGATATCCCTAAAATTGGAGCACAGACTATGATTAAGTCTGGGGTCTTTATATACTTTTCAGAAATCCAGAAAACATGTAGTATAAAGCATGCTATAAATTTTAAGAGGTGAAAAAAGTATTTGGAAATTAAGAAAAGCATTGTGTTGGTTGTTTACTCTGTCAAAGTACGCCTGCATTTTTGAATTGCTTAAAAAATACTTTTTGTGTGAAATGATAGTTGGTACAGCTGTTCTTTGTAGGTCAGTAGCTCAAACATTTGGGAACTACTGTCATGGATTACTGGCAGCTTGCTCTGCACTCTGAGAAGGTTTCCATGGCGTTAAGAAGAGAAGCAGGGAGCCAGCGTCAGGTCTTCCACTAATCCTAATGATGGGCATGAGTTGCCTTTCCACATGTTCATCCTGGAATGTTTTTTTGGTGTCCAGTTGAAGTCCCACCAGAGTTTAGCAAAATCCAAATGTTTAAATATTTTTGGTGGGACAAAAAAGACTTTTGACAGAATCTGGTGGATACTGTTGAGACATAGTGATGGCAAGATGCCACGCTTTGCTTCAGTTTTCCAACACTGACGTTTGGAGATGTTTATTTTTCTTTTTACCTCCCGTACCATTCAGCTCACTTTGAATGGGTCGCAAGATAAATATGGGTCCTCAACAAGCCTAGTGGCTAAACGAAGCTCTTACAGCACTTTTTAATGCCCCCATTTCTCACAGATCCTTTTCCTTAGTAGAGAAAGTTTCTTTCCTGTGTGAAACCTTTTCTTCTTGTTAAAATGCAAGCCGAGTCGGGCAAGTCAGTGAAGTGGACAGTTTAAAAGGTCATGACCCAGACATGTCCTCCTCCTGCAACAACCTTTAAATGGCTGGCATGTGAAGGGAAAAAAAAAAAAGAAAAACACTCAATGCTAATATTTTTCTTTATACACCCTTGTGTAAAATCCCTGAAAGATCTCCTGCTGTTGACGGCTTGATAAGCACCATGTGCAGCTGCTACCCGGTGAACCTTTACTGCATGTTGATTTTATTAAAAATCACCGGCTTCTTTCCAAAAACCAAACAGCAGCTGTTGCCAAGCTCTGGTAATAAAAGCATTTGGTTTATTTTGACTCTCTTGCTTGAAGCAATTCAGTCAAAATTAGACTAAAATAGAAATAAAACATACACATTGCATTCTGAGAAATGCTTTTAAAACTCTGTCTTCTAGGCATCGTTTCCAGATCAGGTACTTTGACGTACGAAGCCGTGCATCAGACTACACAAGTGGGCCTGGGCCAGTCTCTCTGTGTGGGTAAGTTACTGCTGACATCATGCATTAAACGTAAATGGATTAAACTCTGATCGCCTAATTTTATTACCAGTTAGCATTCAGATCTTTAGCTTGGACTTAAGTTTCCTGTATGACATCAAGGTGTGCTGAAAGTGGAACTCTATAATCATTTTTATTGGAGCTCCCTGTATTTCTCAAGAGTTATGAAATAACTTCTAAAATATCTAAAATCTTTAAAAAAATTACTCAAGAAAAAAATGGATAGAGAACCAACACATTTGACTGGTTTTTGAAGTGGGGCTTTAATGATTTTCTTTGAAACTAGAAGGGATATGAGGAGCACAGGTTGCTTTATGTAAAATTTCATCACGTGGTCCTATCTTTGTGCCAAAGGCATTGATTTTTTTTGTTCATTAAAATGCTCTTGCCAATTCCAGTTAGCCCCAAATTGAACACTTAAAACCCTCTTAATGTTCAAGAAACACAGTTTTGATTTTAATGACTAAAATCAAAACTGAAATGTAATAATGAGTCTGAAATTCTTAATTCATATTAAAACCTGTGGATCCATTTTTTGTGACCCAAAAATACATAATTTCACAAATGTTTTTTTTTTTTTTTTTTACAAAATTGCAATTGCGTAAAGAACAAACCATGCATGATCACGGTTTTGTGTTTTTAATTATTAGAATAAAATACTTTAATTGACCTTAAGTAGCGCTTTTTATAGTCACATTAGTTCCTGTGTAATATGGTCTATCATCACTTAAACAGAAACAGACTAAATTCAGTTTGTAACAAAAAGTTCTCATTCCTTTAGTTTTTATTGTAAAGATTTTAGTTAAATCCTATGACAACAAAACATTTTCAATTCTGACAGAAACTGAACCATGACCAGGCTAATAAACATGTGCTCGGGTATCAAATCAGTTGACCTTTCTGTATACAGATATTTGAAAACATCAACTACCAGACTGCTTGCCCATGTTATCAGAGGGAATTTTCAGTGCTGCAGTCTGCAGTAGAACCCTGTTTCTTAGCCAACTTCACATCGGAAAGTGTAATCACAAATCAAGCAATCAGGGCACAAACAGTATTTACAGACTAGTTGATGATAACATACCTTTGAAAACCGGAGGCATGTGCTGCCAGTCACTCAGGATGTCGTAAATGTAATTATTTTGGTTTTTTTTGTCTGTGTGTTTTCTCTTTTTTTGATGTAGTTCACAATAATCCCTTTAGATTTTGTGAGTTTAGTTGTAAACAAACATGTAATATTTGCACAGTGCTCAGGAAGGCATGCCACATAATCTGCCATGCAACGTCATGCAGATGTTCATGCCCAAACTACGTCTGGGTGCAAAGTTTGATGCAGCTCTTTTCATCATAACAACAAAAATGAGTTTTTACTCATCAAACATCTTTTCCTCTGGAAAAATTGCATTATGGAGCATCTTGGACATATTTAGTAAAATCCATCTGGCCTTCATCATTATTTAAACAGTTTAATTATCGAGTATCCCTCCAGTCAGACTTTATGAAATCAGTGCAGCAACAGTATTAGATATTATAAAGTTCATTAAGACTGTGGGGCTATTGAGACTGTTTCAAATCTTTTGACTGTCCTTTGGGCTGCAAATTATAATCAGTGCAAAACTTAATATCACTCTCATCTTCTTTTCTGGTCATATAATTAATTTTGTAATTTATTTTAATAACAGCCTTTTAAAATTTTGGATATAAACACATTTTATCCCAGAGTATTTGCTCACAGACTCAGCAGACTAAGCTCCGCTTTAGCTAGAGGATGAAAGTTCAGAAGAATAAAACGAAAATGTAACTTTACTCATCCTTCCTTTTATCTAAATTTGTCACAGATTCAGAGATTTCTGGACATGTCATTAAAAACACGGTTTCCATTTAAATACCTTCGTTTTAAGAGAAGTTATAAAGCGATAAAGTTGTTAAGTTGGGTGAAAGTTTTCTAAATGCGTCAGGTGGCGTGGTTGTGCTTTCACAGAGGGGTTATAGCTACACTTTTTATACTTCACTGATACTGAAAATAGCTCACTTTTAGTCTTCTTCAGTCAGTAGCAACTTCACAACAAAGAGTTGTGCTGCTCCCCTTCAGAATCCTCATGTCTCAAAAACACTTAAAAAACATGGGCGAAGTTTAAGTAATTAATTGTTACAGGGAAGAAAAACAAAACATGTGATATTGTTTTAAATTTAATTTATTTTTCAAGTTATTTTCTGTTTTATGTTGTTTATTGCAGTTTTTTAATTAAACTATTAAGTATACAGTATACTTTGGTGAAATAAAATATACCGAGTTATCTTTAAGGAAAAAAAAATATATATATATATATATATATATATAGTTCCTTCATTAGTGAAGAGCTGATGTCACTTTTCCCAATTATTAAACTATTTGACTTCAGCCAATATTGTAAGATACCTAATATTTTTTAACGTGTCTTTGAATACATTTATGTTTATTATTTCTATAGATGATCATCTTCTGTTTAATTGTTTTTTTATTTTCCAGACTGGTGGAAAATTGCAGTATGTTTTTTTATTTTTTTATTGCTCATATATAGTTCCTGTTTGTTCACAAATGACCAAAACAACTAGAAATTGTCTTTTTTTTCTTTGTAGGTTTTTATTTTGTCAAAACAAAACAGGAAGAAAATAAATAAGCAATAAGGGAAATTTGAAAGGAAACTGGCCCTGAGCTGCTCGTATTGGCAGACAAACATGGAACAGACCGTCTCCTTTTTACACCTTGTTTTGTCACCATGGAAATCTTGATTTGTTAATAATGCATTATGGGAACAGGTCCACATTAAAATCTTTAATTATTCATTATTTTAGATTGGAAAAAATATTATTCAATTATAAATATCATAAAGCATCTTTAACCCTACATTGTTGTTTTGTGTAGGTTTTCTCACATTTCTTAGAAAAATTGGTTTACACATGCTTTGTAAGCTCTGCTACTGACATAAAAGCATCCTTAAGGTGCCGTTCTAAAAAAAAAAAAGGTTGTTAGTAACAGCTGAAGTGAAACGGAAAAAATAAACAAACGTCTCTCCAGATCTCAATTTCTAATTCTTAGTAAGGACAAGGTAGCTGCTCCAAACTATGTGGAGCTGCTCTAAGGTAGTGCAGTTCTCTTCTGACACTGCTGACTTAGAGATGCATTCACCATAGAAAGTTTTGAGAAACCAGCTGTGTGCTTCCTACTCAGGGCACCAAGTATGAAGCCAGGCTTCCATCTTTGAGGCTCGTGTTTCTCTTTAAGAGTTCATGAAGAATAAAATTAAAAGATTTTTTTTTTTTTTTTGCTGGAAATAATATTCCAAGTAATCCTCCCCCAATCTGAAACAAAGATAAATTGACTATTGTTAACAGCTAATGTTAAAAATCCACAATTTTTGCCCTTTCCTGTTTTATTTCAATGCCTTTTCTCAGGTCTTATTAAGGTGAAGCAGGCTTTTATGTGCTTATTTATGATTGCACTTACATAATTTATCTTTTGATATTCTTGGATGCATAAGTGTTTGTTTTCTTCTCCTGAAAGGTATTGGTGGTGATCCATTTAATGGCACAAACTTCATAGACTGTCTGGAAGTGTTCCTGCAAGATCCCAAAACAGAGGGCATTATCCTCATCGGAGAGATCGGAGGAAATGCTGAGGAGAATGCTGCCGAGTACCTGAAGCAGCACAATACTGTAAGCAAATAACATACTAACACTCTTTATTTACACATGCTCATGTGTGTGTTTTTAAACTTTGCTTATGATTTTTTGAAAATCAGCAAAAGATTTACTAAAAAAGTAAAAAATAAATAAAATAAAACATTCCCCAAATCTGCCAGTTTTTGTGAAGAAAGGCAACCATCACACACACAAAGAATATGTTGGAGTGTTACCTTTATTTTTGTTTTTTTATCACAGCCTCAGGCTTTCTCCCATATATTTCTCAGTTATTTATGTGATGAAGGTAGGAAGTGACAGATAAGATGAAGGTGTGACTCACAGGTCATGTTTTAGAAATCGACCGCGGTGATGAATTGTGAAGCTTTTCTGATGCTCACTTGTGAGGGAGGTGATGATTGGCTGATGTGACGACGCTGCTGACATTTACAACTTCTCCAGGTCTGAACTCTTGTCCCGTGGATTACTTTTTACTGTGTTAATTTTGCTCTGTTTGTTTCTGTATGTGTGTGCTCGGTGCTCTTGAGCTGAGAAATGGATTTGATGTGCCCTCTGCTGCTCTAATGCATGCAAATCTGCCGCTGGCGTCTCAGGAGAATAACTACTCTGACTGAACAAATAAAGTACAAACAATCCCCCCACCCAATCACACAGAGTGTTGACAGTGAGGGACAGTTCAAATGAAACACAAGCATGAAAAGCCCAGCAGAGTGTGGGAGTAAGCTGCAGATTCCCCTTTGAAAGTCACTTGTGTAGAAAATTGTTCATAAAATGGTGCTCTTAGACCTGTTTTTAAAAGTCGAGTTGTACAAAGATGTCAGGACACAATGTTTTCACTTTGAATTAAACCGAGTTTCTCTTCATTTGAGGCTATTTGAATTAGAGTTTCAGACAGAGTAGCTGCTGGAAACCAGGCCCATCACAGAAACTCTGTGTTGGCAAATAAATGATATACCTGCACTTTTTAAAATTGCAGCTCTAACTGATAGAGCTGCACCATAGAAAACTAGGATTCTAAAAATGGAAGTGGTGCTGGAAAGATGGTGCATAGGCTGGAACTGGATTAATAAATAAAACTAGGTTTATTTTTTTGTCTGTACCTGAAATAATAAAAAAAAAACTTTTACAGAGATAAATGCATCAAAGCTTATATATCGACATGTAAATGAGTGTTTAATAGGATGTCTTTTTTTTACATGACTGTATACTTTCATTATTGTACAGTGTTCCATCTTTGTAAGTAGATTTGAAAATTTGGCATTCAAGCTAACATATCTATTAATGTTCAATACACCGTTCAAGTTTGTACGGATTTGACTGATAATAAAATGAGCTTGTCTTCTGGTGCATGAGTTTTTAAAGCTGTGTTATATGTAAGCACATTCCAGCTACTCCTACCAGCCTGTCATGTTTATAGGAGCCTAAAATAGTCTGAGTTCGACTTTAGTTGGTGTTTACAGTGCAAAGCACTTCCCCTGTCATGTTGGCAAACAGAAACGGTGAAACTCCCCTATTGGTCCCTTAATGAATGTAATAAATCTGCGCTGCTAACAGTGAACGACAGAAGACGGCTGGAGCGAATAGCACAGCCCCCCCTCCCTTTTTGAATTGTTACTTGGTGCCAAGAGAGGCAGGAATTAATAGAGTAATTAAACCTGTTTTGCTTGAGGTAGATTTAAGGCTGGATTCACATGAGGGCGGTTTGTGTATTCAGAACGTGCTTTGATTCCTGAGTAGACTGTTTTCTGCTAATTTGTTGTTTTTGTTTCTGTTTTTTGTTTTTTGCTTATAATCTTTCGTTGGTTAGAAGAGACGCTTGTAACATATTCAGAGCTCTTTATAGTGATATTCCCTCCCTCTCTGCTTTTTCTGGGTAACTCTGCGAGACTTAACGCATCTAGTTAGTGATGCTTTTTCATCCAGGGCCCTCGACGTTCCCTTGGCTGATGTATGCTCTGCTAGTCTCAATTATCAAACGTCGTCTTGAGCGTATGTGTATTAAGAGGTGCCATCTCGTTCCTGCCAGTGTCATCTTTAAATCTGGTGCTGAAATGCTTGCAGGAGTGTGTGTCTTTGAAGGACCTCGCTGTGTTGCTGTGGCTGTTAAACATGCCACATTCGCTCTCTGGATGCTGTCTGCCAGATGAGCGTCAGCCTGTACACACGCACACAGCCGTCCCCAGCAATTATGTTGTTATCCCTAAGTATGAAATATTAGCTGCTTCGCACACGCACAGCCTCTGTCCCTCTTTCTGGTTGTGATGTTATGGCTGAAGATGAAATATTAGCTCTCTTCACCTTGGAAATGATCTTAACTGTTGAATGTAACATCCATCAATGAACAAGTAGCATAGCCAAGCGCTGAGCTAATCACTGGCTGCATGACTAATTACCAATTCAGAAATGAGATGATATGAAATGACAGGAGCCTGAGCCCCTATCTGGTCACACTGCCGCCCATGCAATTAAATGGCTTGATTGACCCTTTGTTTTAATAATGCTGGCTTAGACAGAGATGACTGGTTAGACTTGCGTGTTATCATGGAGCTCTCTAATGGGAGGCCACAAGGTGCATTGTGTCTAATGAATGAATGAAATGCAGGTGCAAAAAACTAATTCCTTCTATTTTTGTACAGACAATGGTGCTACTGGTGTTTCCCTCCAGTGTTTCTCTCTTTATTTTATTTTATTAATTTTTTTTGTTCATCTTTCTAATCTTAAGCTCATTTCATTTTGCTCCCTGCACCCTCCATCATCCAGGGAGATAACGCCAAGCCTGTGGTGTCGTTCATCGCCGGGCTGACGGCTCCTCCAGGCCGCAGGATGGGCCACGCTGGTGCCATCATCGCTGGTGGGAAGGGCGGAGCCAAAGAGAAGATCGCAGCTCTCCAGTCTGCTGGAGTTGTGGTCAGCATGTCCCCTGCTCAGCTGGGGAGCACAATGTTCAAGGTGAGACTTCACCTAACCACCACGGCAATAACGGTGGAAACATGATTAATTGTGTTGAATCAGTTATTGAAATTATCATCAACTAATTTAGTAATTAATAAATTGTTAGAACAACATGGTCAGAGCAGTAATTAAGCCTAAATGGTACGAATAATCATATTCATTTTGCATTTAAGATTAAAAAAATGCCAGTTTCGGCTTCTCCTGGTACTCATTCTGTGAAAAGAAAAGTCTCCTCTTGAGCATCTTTTGCAATCCGATTATTAATTTTTACTAATCGGTTAATTTAAAAAGCAATCAGCAAATTTAATAATACAGTACTTTTTAAAATAATCAATAGCAGATGAAGTCTTTGGTTAAACCTTTACGCCCAAATCTGTTTATCTGGAAGACCGCCCTGCTTGTACCTGCAAGAAAAGCTGCAGTCTTGTGTAAGGCCCTCATGCACTTGCATATGTAATTAAACAGCTGTTTTGTATTGTTACCAGGTGATGAACTCTGTGAGAGGTACGTAATGTCGACTGGTTATCAAGCTAATTCCCCATTGTTGACCCGATTCAGTGCAACATTCTTTGATGACCCCCAACATTTACATTAAAACACTTTGAAGAATGAAGAGCTCCTTGTCAAAGCTACTTCCTCTAACATGACTCACTGGCTCATGATTTCTTTTTCAAGAACACATCCGTATTTATCAAGCACAGTTTAAACTTCCCTCGAAGCATGTTGCAAATCCAGGCATAGACTGAAATTCAGAGCCTAGAACTGTTCCATCTGTTGTGTGCTTGTTGTGTGCTCCCCTTCGTTGTACATTTTTCTATCCCGGTTTGTGCATGGTCGATCTCGTATCGTCTGTGGAAAGTGCAGCTCAAGTCAGAGATGGATACATCTACAGTTTCTTTGATGTTGACTTGTCGCTGTTGTGGTTCTTTCGCTTTTGCATATTTGCTTTTCATTAATTTGATTTCCCCCCAGACTTTCTGCATTTTTGGTCTGTTTACTCCATGTTCTTTGTTGTCTTGATACTTGAATCATAGCATGTAACGTAAGTGTAAGCACGTTGTGTGACAGCTATTAGTGTCCTGGTAAAACGCAGTGATCATAGTACACACCACTACTATAAATTAAAGGGTGCTGGGGCGGTGTGTGATGTAGAGGTGGAGCGGATGCTTCTTATAGGGAGGCTATTAATCCTCAACGCAGCCATCCGAGGTTCGATTCCCAACCCTGGGACCTTTGCTGCCTGTCCTCCGCCCTTCTCTCTCTGCCCATTTCCTGTCTAATCTACTGCAGACAAAGGCCACTAGTGGCAGAAAAACCTTTAGAAAAAAATAATAAATGAACTATTGCATCAAAGCACAGATTTGGCCTCAGGGATTTTTTTGAAATTGAAACATCACCTACTGCTTATACAGTGGATAAAAAAGCTAAGACAGACAGTTGGAGACAAGCTTATTTTTATTTTGGGAAGTGTACATGTAATTTACTGGAAACCTGCATATTGTCATCATGCCAATGCTCTGACTTTTCATTATTACATAAAAGCAATTTTAAAATGCTCAGTCTCAGAGTGGCATTTTGCAAATGCTCAAAATGATAACATAATTTGAGATCTATTGAACTGGAATGCTTCCCTTGTTTTTGCTGCTCTGCATCTTTCGTCAGTCTGTTTTCCTGTATTTTTTATTTTTTTTGTTGTTGAGGTAGGTGTATCACGTTCAAATGGTGGAAAATACTTCCATAATAAATTTATAATAAAACCATTAATAATAAAAATTCAAATAGATGGGGACAGCATGTAACCAAACAGCCACATCCATGCTGGGTTAATTTCACTTTTTCAGACATTTACAATACAAAGAAACTAAATAAATTCACAGATCTCATTTCAGTTGAGCAAGCGAGCCAGTAACAGTGTCTTGCAGACACATTTCTGTTCTTTGAACAAACACTGCAGCAACTAATTATGATATGGAGAAATCCAGTGTAACCAGTAACTTCTAGAAGTAATCCAGGTAGGAATTAGTACATTGTATGTACGTTTTTCTTAAGATGCAGATGTTCTGTGAATGTTGCTGATGTACAGGTGGGAAACTATCATATCTGACCCAACAAAAATATAGAAGATGGTTTGGTCAGAGAAAACTAAAATTGAACTTTTGGGTCTACATGCTAAACACTGCCTGACAGAAAACTAACAGTGTACTCTCCAGAACCCTCTGCCCCTATGGTGACACTAGAAGCTGCCAGCATTATGCTGTAAGGAGGATTTTGTTGAGCAGGGTCAGGGAAGCCTGACAAAGTTGAAGGGAAGATGGATGGAGCTAAATACAGGCCTTCATGGAAGAAAGCCTGTTAGAGGCTGCAAAAAACTTGAGGCTGGGGCAAAGGTTCCCAAAACACACAGTCAGAGCTTCAATGGATTGGTTTGGATTAAGCCATGTTCATGGGTGAGAATGTCCAGATGGACATCCAATGGAGAATCTGTGACAGGACCCGAAAATCAATGTTCACAGTTGCTCTCCATTCAGTCTGAATGAGCTTGAGCCATTTTCTAAAGAATGATTGAGTTTTAACCAAGTTGATAGCCACACTATTACACACCTGCTGTTCCAGCTTTACATTCAAGTATGCTGGAGTGTTGGTCACTGTTAGTGTTAGCTTTAAATTAAGCACTTTTACAAATGTGAGAAGATTTTTTTATTTTTTTTAATAACTTAATCGGTTTTTCTAGGAGTGTTGAGGTTTAATTTTTAATGTGCTGTAAACAAAGAACTGCTGAAAAGAGGGGCAAAAATTAATAAGCATGTGTGGAACTGAACTGACGCTACCACCTCTTTATTTAAGTTTATCCCAAGGGAGGCACAGTTAACAAGATGTATAAAAAGTGAAAGCATGTATTACACCCATTTATCATCCTATACTTTCATTACCACTGCTGGCACTACTGCACACAGATATAGATTTACATGACATTTTTTGCCACAGTTTAATTCATAATCATTGCGTGTAATGATGAAAAACGCGCGGCGTGGATGCTCATTTTTCCCCACACGTTGTATTCATACATCTCTCTCTATCTCATTGACCGCTGTAATCGAAGTAATAACGCATAAAAAGAAGCAAGCGGACACAATGCTTCGAGTGTGGCCTGAAACTGTGGTGACCCCAATAACATCTGCTCAACTGACGGAGTAAACATCTGCATCCACTGACCCTGATGAACTTTGCTGGGAGTGATTAAAAAAAAAAAAAAATTATTATGCAAAACAAGAATAATGTGTCATCACATTTAATCAGCTGGAAAAATAATTAACGGCGCCTCCCTGTCTCTGTCTTGACCATCTTCTTAATTTGTCTTGAAAAGGTGTCGAGCACTAATAGGGCTCCCTGCATCTAATAAAACCATTGCTCTAAACAGTTTGTTGCCAGGTTTGCATAAATGCATCCTTAAATGCTGAAAAGGACTGTTTTGTCAGAAGAGGTCGTCAACATGAAGCTTTAGATGGGAGGATATGTAACTGTAAACAGAAGTCGGGTAAATTGTTGTGAACTGGCGGTGCTGAGTTTATTAAAGATGCATTTCAGCCTTGGACCACGGCGCTGTGGCCACTGGGACATGCAAAGCAAATGCTTGTTTTGAACATAAAAGTAGAAATTGGAAGATATGAAATGGATGATCAGAAGGGAGTTGGTTCATCTTATCTGTAAAAACCTTCATGGTCTAAGAAAGTTTTATCCAATTTAGATGCTGTATAAGCAGCTGTTTACCCTTCAAAACTAAGAGGGATCTTTGCAAGCTTTTTTTTTCTTCCCTCAAGGCTGAAGCAAAGTAGGCATAGTCAATGTGATGTTGTTTTCACCTGGACAATCATTTTTAATTAAGCTTGTTCTAACAGTTCAATTTTATAATGCCTTCACAGGCCACTTAAGTCTTAATGTGTTATGGTAATTGAGATTTTGTTATTCTAGTAAACACTTTGGGTCTTTTTTTTTTAACACAGCGCTCTTTTTTTTCAGTCATTAGAGTTATAATTGTCTCCAGTGTTGGTGCTTGGATTGGTTGTAGCTACATGGGATTGCAGTACAACATGGTCACATTATGAACATATTTCTATCTTGTTCTTTTCATTCCTCTGCTGAATTTTCAGCTTCACTGAATATGATCACTTCTCCCCCTCAATCTCTTTTCTTTTGGTCTGTATAGATCAAGGAGGCCCATTTTATAAAATATTCATCTTTTAATTTAAATATATGTAGCGTTTATATATTATATTTATAACTATATTAATAGTGATTTTTCTTTTATCTCGTTTCATTGATAACTAGCTTTAAATACATTAGAGAGGACATATTTGTGCAAGATTGATGACAATAAAATTTTAGCAAGTCTGCTAAAGAAAAAAAAAAGCATTTGATCGGTAATGTGTCTATAATTTACTCCAAAATCCGTTGCGTTCTCGAAATTCTGTTTGAAGCATGGAAGCACATAAAACTTTGTTTAAAATAATTATCTATTAAATTAACTTGATTTCTGTAATATGGGTTTTTGACTGCCAAATGGCCTCAGGTTGTGTGTATATTATAGTATGGTGTAGCGCAGCATAATATTGTATAGCATAGCATAGCATAAGATTGTTTAGCATAGTATTGCGTAATTTTGTGTAGTATAATATAGCATAGGATAATATAACATGGTATAGCGTACCATAGGGCAGCACAGCATAGTATGTGCTGTGCTGCCCTATGCTATACTATAGTATAGCAGCATAGGGCTATACTATAGTATAGCAGCATAGGGCTATACTATAGTATAGCAGCATAGGGCTATACTATGCTATGCTATAGTATAGCACAGCATAGTATTGTAAAGCATAATATAGTATAGCATAGCTTAATATAGCACAACATATTACAACAAAGTTCAACATAGCATAGCATATTATAACATCTTTGGTATAGGATAGTGTAGTATAGTTTAGGATGTAGCCTGGTTGTTTAAATGAGCCCAAATTATCAGGCCTCTCTGTGCTAAACACTTGATATGAGGCGTTTGGTTTTTGTCATCTTAAGTCTGTTTTGTTTGGATCCACCCAGCTGCAGAAAGCATCACACAGCATGATACTTTCACCACCATGCCCTAACATGGATGGTGTGTTGATGGTGAATTTCAGTGTTAGTTTTCCATATAATATATATTTGAATCTTGTCAAAAAGTTACAATTTGAAGAAAGCAGCTTTTTATAATTTAACCCTGTTTTAAACCTCTCTACAACCTTATGGCAGATGTCTCTGCTGTTGACTTCCTGCCTCTGTTTTCATACTAATAATCTCTTAACAAACCTCTGAGACATTCACAGAGCAGTTGGATTATTACTAATACATGTGAACTCTTATTTACTGCTAGGTGATTTCTGAATGCCTTTGGTTGCACTGGACTTTATTTAATAACATCAGAAAAAAGAAACTGAATACAAACATATATCACACGTAAGTTTTTTTATCGGTGCAAATAGTTTTTTTCTAAGCCATTTATTCTTCTCACAATTATGCACTACTTTGTGTTGCTTTTGCACAAAGCCCTTTATAATTCAAACCCAGTAGGTGCAGAAAACAGAAGCCTTTAGATTTTGTTGCTCTTATAAATTCAACAGTTGAAGCAGAGTTTACTGACGTTGTTTACTGTGCCTGTCGGCCTCATATATCTGGGGCCAAGTGCGTCAAAGCTGTTGTCATTGCTCGCTTGTAAATGTCTTGCTTTTCTTTCATGTCACATTTACGTTCGCTTTTCCCTACTTTCGGACCAGGGGTATTTTCACTTGTCGCCTTTGACTGACAACCTCTACTTTTCTCATTTTACTCCTCCCCTTGCTCTTGACTTGTCAAACGGCAGGCTCAAACAAAAGTGTTTTCTTCCCCTGTTCTTAGGGAAGAGCTCTGCAATCTTTCCCTGGAGCATCTATTTGTTTTGTGACCTTGGAGTTGGTGTCTCCTGCTTGTCAGAAGCACAATTTTTGGAATTCATTTTTGTCAGTTTTTACCTTCCACTACCTTTCTTTGTTTGCCTTAATTTACATATGTGCCTCTAAACCTTCTTCAGTTCTTTTATAGTTCTCCTTTTAAGGAAAAATACAGCAGATGGCAAAAAAGCACTCCAGTTCCTTAGAATTTTACCCAAATTTAATTTGCCCATCTCTGCAGTCAGATTTAGATTGCGAGGCTGCATCTTAACCACTTTGGATTTTTCATGTTTTTATATTCCTGCCTCAGGGTGGCAGTATAACTTCGTGCATTCACAAGCCACAGAGGAATGGGCCAACTTGTGCTCGAGTGCTTGTGTGTTCTCTAGACCTGATAAATGACATTTGCATTAAGTTACTCTCCCCCTCGGAATGGAAAATTCTCTGGGAACGACGTATTCTATCATCCTGCGATTTGTGTGATACTCTGCAAATTGAATATGTAAATAGCAACATCCTTTTTAATGGCTAACATAATGCCTTCTCATTTATAGTCACATGGTTGGACTGCACAGATAAACACAGCTAGCATAACCTCACATAAATCAGATTTTCACAGATGTACCACTCCCATCGATCACAGGAAGCAATCTGTTTTTTAATGTTGACAACCAACAAGTGAGCTGTTAAAGTGCTCGAGCTTTCCCACATGTATGTGCTGAGCGAGGTAGACTCTCAAGGAATGAAAAAAAAAAGAGACTCTAGAGCTACTCAACACTCTCCCCCCCAACAGCATATCTGATGCACAGGATCAAAACAAGTCTGTATGAATTCCACATGAATAAATCATTCATGTCTTTCTGTCTCACTTCGTTTGACGCTCCGTGTCTTCTTTCTCTTTGTTGTCTGTCTTTGCAGGAGTTTGAGAAGAGAAAACTGTTGTAAATTGCGCTCCAAGACACCCGACTTTTAACCCATCCACCTCGCAAACGAGACGATTCTGGAGCTGGACATGCCCTGCAGTATCTGTGAACCCCGACTATCTCATCGTTGATAACGCACATTGCGGTGTTTCTGTTGTAATTTCTGCCATAAACTTGTACCTTGCACATAATGAAAGAAATAAAACATTAGTGTCTTAGTGGTGTTCGAAACATCTCTGTTATAAGCCGTGCAGGAGTTTTTCAATCAATGTTTTCTTCCACACAGTGCTACCAGCTAAAAGGGAGATGCCACAGTTTCATTTTGTAACATTGTAAGATGTATTTCATCATCAATATTACTGGCTGTCCACTTGAAAAAGAAAAAAAAAAGTTCTCATTATTTTCCCCCTGTGTTGTGTGTGTATAATTTCAAACATCATGCACAACTACTCTGTCTGTTCGTGCTTCCCAGGATGAAAGATTCAGTAATAGCCTCGATGGACAGAACGACTTGGTTTAAGAGTTAATGGGATTATCTTTTTTTGTTGAAGTTGTCTGCAGTCAGGGGCTGCACAGTGTTGCAGCCCCTGACTGCAGACAACTTCAACAAAAAAGTTGTGCAGCCCCTGACTGCAGACAACTTCAACAAAAAAAGATGATCCCATTAACTCTTGGTAGAGCTGTTGCCTTGCAGCAAGAAGGTTCTGGGTTCGATTCCAGGCCCCGGTCTTTCTGCATGGAGTTTGCATGTTCTCTCTGTGCATGCATGGGTTTTCTCCGGGTACTCCAGTTTCCTCCCACAGTCCATAAACATGACTATCAGGTTAATTGGTCTATCCAAATTGCCCCTAGGTGTGAGTGTGTGTATGGATGGTTGGTTGTCTCTGTGTTGCCCTGCGACAGACTGGCGACCTGTCCAGGGTGACCCCGCCTCTCACTCGGAACAATAGCTGGAGATGGGCACCAGCAACCCTCCCGACCCCACCAAGGGACAAGGGTGTAAGGAAATGGATGGATGGATGGATGGATGGATGTCTGCAGTCAGTATCTTACCTCTGGTAGGTCCAGACTCGGTTCTGACCAGCTACAAGCTACGTATTGGAATCGAATGCCCCCTTTCCTGCATTAGCATATTTGTAATCTGAAATATCCAACCTTTAGTGTGTGTAGGGTTTAGCTAAATCACTTGTGGCACATTTAGCAACACCTCTGCCAATATGAGACCAAAACCTGGCTCTCTTATGGAGTTTTCAAAATGACAAAGACTTTTCAACTTTTCAAAATTTGTTGGTCATGAAAGCAAGCCATTCAAATAAGGCAGATGTGTGTTTCTTTCATTAGTCACAAAAGACCAAAAAGATTAAATGGATTTGATCCATTATTTTTTTTTTCTACAGTCAGGAAATTCTGAAAATCTGAACCATGGCAAACAAGGCTGGATGGAGGTCTACGCCTGTTAGCGCCACGCAGAGTAAGAAGAGTGGTAACGGCGATAGGAAAAACTCTCTAAAGGAGGACTCTCCAATTCTGTCCTGCATGTTTGAAGATTCATTCCTTTATCTGGCACACCTGAACCAAATAATCAGCTCATTACCGACTTCTCCAGACGTGACAACATGCTGAGGAGGAAATTCAGCTATTTGATTCAGGTGTTTTGCTGTGTATAACAGTTGCAGGACTGCAGCTCTTGAGGATAGGAGCTGGAGACTTCTGCTGTTAAGCTCAATGTTAAGAGAGCTGCACATTTTTTTCTTTTAGTTCAGGATTGAGCTTGTGCAAAACAAGACATTTTAAATTATTTACAAATATTGGTTCTGTGGTATCATGGTGCGTGTAGAGAGTGACAGATGCTACAAATGCATTGAACGTTATTTACAGCAGACTAAACAAACCTAGAGTCTGATGTACAGTGCCTATTGGATACCAATGACTACACTGAAAGCAAAGAGTTACAAGCTTCAGCAGCTGAGATGGAACAAATGTCGCCAGAGCTCCTCATCAGTTAAAGCTGAGGAAGCCACTGTTGAAGAAACCTTAAATTCTGTCCACTTAAAACCTGTCTGTCCACACCGACTCCGTGGTGTGATGGCAGCTCAGGATAATGTATTTAATATTAAATATTTATATAATTATCTTTTTATGGGAATTTGTTTTTACTTTGACATTGAAAAGGGCTTTTTAGTCCGGAAACTTGCGGTTTTTTGTTTTTGGTCATGATTGATTTGAAAAAGCAATGAAAAAAGGTAAGACATCATAGGGAACTTCTATTTTTAAAGATGATGCTAACAGCTATCGAATCCAAGGTTATGGTGGATTAAAATGGGTTGTTTTTAAAGCTGTTTCTTACAGCTAATAAATGTTTGGGAAAAGATGCAAGCTCTGTGGCGAGAGCGCCACTTTTTCTAAGTCTTAGCCCGACTCAGGTGAGAAATTCTCTCACTTTTCACATATTTTATTACTGTGTGTGGTTTCTATCTTCGAGAGGGAGGCCAGTTATGTGAAGGTGAGTTAATTTAGCATTATACAATATAAATCACAGTGCTCTGCGGTGAAATAAAGGAACGAATGTGAGGATGAAATTAAAAACAGGAAATGCATTAAAGCAGGAACAGAAAATTAAAAATTATGGCACGTCTCCATCCTTAAAAGGATCTATCCTTCAGTTTTCATAATTAAAATGTTATGAGGCTTCAGTTATTAGTCATTTAAATAATTTCACACCTGCATACACACAGTGTGGTGACAAATAAAATCTTCTGAATACTGATGTTTGAATAAAGCTAGAAGGAAAGCTTTTCTTACTAATTTGCTGGGTAGCATACTGTGGTGAAAGATAAGCTTCTTCTGGATAATATTTCACTTAGCTTTCATATAAAAATCTCACAGAGATCTGGACAGCATTGAATGTTACACTATATGCTTTTTTGATTTTGTCTGTACACTTTTAAGTGTTCAACTGTAATGAAAGCTTTGTCCTCCAATCCTATCTTAGTATTCCTCCATATGAAATTGTTGAGTCACCAATATACAGGTGCACCTCATTAAATTAGAGTAACAAGGAAATGCTAATTTACTTAGAAATTTAAGTGAAACATTAACATAGTTATGAACACAGTAATATATTTCCTTTGTTTATTTCTGCACCTTTTGATTGGTTGTCCAGCCGTCATCAGCAATCTCTATAAGGAGTGGAAGCTACTAGAAGCCATTGCCTAATAACTGGCTATTCGCTCAGAACTATAACTAAGAAATGCACTAACGACAGATGAGTGCAGCCTTTAAGGTGTGAAACAAAGCAGATTCAAAATTTGGTGGTAACTCTCAAGGCGTAGACTGTGGCTGGAGTCAGATCTTTGATAGCCACCAAACGCAGCTGTGCCCATGACCTACGACCCTTGTAGGCCATTGCCCCTCCCCTCAACCACAGATATCAGAAGCAGTCCCTCTGCTTTCAAGGTTTATGGAAATGCTGATTTCATTCTCCAGTTGGACTTGGCGTCTGCCTACACTGCCAGAAGTACCAATACTTGGTTTAATGACCCAGGTGTAATTGTGACTAATTGGCCAGCAAACTGGCATGACCTAAACCCCATATAGAGAGTCTTTAGAGCAATATCAAGAGGAAGGTGAGGAACACCAGACAATGCAGACAAACTGAAGGTTTTTCATAACATTTAAATTTCCTGGGTTAACCAAATGTTGGGTTTTCAACGGCTGTAAACCACAGTCTCCAAAATTAATTTAATATGAACTTCAAAATATTCATTCAATTGAATACCTTACATAAATCAATTTAATCCAGCTGCTCAAATTGGGACATTTGTATGTTTTACATAATTTGTACTCTCCTGTGGAAGAACTGCCCTTCAGATGTCAATGAACATGTTTCTGACTCAGCTTCAACAAAGGTCGCCTCCATCAAAGTCTCTTGATGTTTTTATTTTTTTTTCATCCATGAAACAAAATCAGAGGAAGCCATTTTCTGCTCACCATTTCCAAACGTGCAAAACATGTGAAAGACGGAAGTGAATTGCTTACTTAAACACATCCAACAACTGTTGTAAAGTTTGTTGTGCTTCTTCCAGTGGCATAATTTTAAGGGGGGCTGAAACCTCCCTAAAATATCCTCAAACCCTCTTAAATAATGAGGTGTTTTTTTTTTTAATTAATTATTTATTTATTTATTTTTACAAAAGTTTGCCAACAAATTCAATATAATGTGGCCAGAGCTAAATAAATAATCATATAAATTATTAGTTTTTACTCAGATATAATCATAAATATGTCAGTTTTCTTTTATTTTGGTGTAAAATATACATAGAATTGCTCAGAAGGTAATCCAAGCTTGTCACTTTCTTCTCATGTCCTCCATAGGGCACCTAACAATTTTAGGAAACCATTTTCTTATGGTGACTAACTGTTAGCTCACATCCTGTGCGTCTCCTGGAGGCTTAGCTCCCCTCGTCCTTAAAGCCTAGACACCCCTGGCTTCCTTCCTCAGTTATTTTTGCTATTTTAATTGATCACGCCTCTAAATCACACCTTTATCTTTTAAATGCGGTCTCCCACATTTTGTGCTATAAATGTGGAGACTATACGTGAAGAATCAGAGTGGAGCTTCAGGTTAACCTCTGATTGAGCAGGCCCAAGTTCAACAGAAGCTTAATCCTTGCCTTATTACTGTACACAGGGTGAAATTAAACTGAGTGGAGGGAAAATGAAAGCAGCAGATAAGGTTACAGTTTGATCTGCTCCCTCACAACCTGTTTAAATTAACTCAGTAGGAACTAAAGTGTGTAATGGAGCGTATAATGCCCTGTACTGGACATCTCTGCGGCGTTTTTTTTTTTTTTCCTTTATCATCTCCACAGCAGTCAGCTAGGGCAGATTATTCTGTGTACACAAAGTTAACAATTACTTTTTAATCTGCATTAGCAAATTAACATACTGACTGACTGGTACAGAAAGCTTATTTGTTTATGGGCTCAGATGTTCGTGCTTGCACTGAAGCTGTAGGACTGGGCTCTGCCTGGGTTGGATTTGGACTGCAACGGGAAAAGGGAGCCAAAGTTCGGTTTCTGCTCTTCTCTAGCAGCTGTGTTTTGCTTTTTAAAAAGTCATCATTCACCACTAACACAGTAACATTAGGTCTCGAAATTTAATATTGAATGATAACTGTCAAAAATTCTCCAAAGGTTTTATTTTGTGAACCACATCCACATTCATTTCAATAGAGTAACACGATGATTTTTCCACAACTTAACTCATAATTTATGACAGTCTGTGCTGATCTCACTGTACTGTGCTGCATATGTCCCAACCCAACTATAGGCATGTTTCTGTGATTGCAATAGGACACTCAACATGGTTTGTTAAAAAAAAAAAAAAAAGGTCAGACAT